TCCAAATATGCTTTTAGTATTACCTTGTCGTCTTTCAATATTGTTGCCTTCCGATCCTTAAATACGACTGTTAGTGAATTTTCTTCCAACTTTTTAACGGACAACAAATTATACAACAGATTGTCACATAACCACACATTCTGCACCTTCAATTGTTTACCTGTGCACGATTTTAAAAATAGATCACCTTCTTTTAACGCAGTTATAGTTTCGCCTTCTTTAGCAACTTTAATTTTGTAATTAATGTCTTTTACATTAGTTAAATAACTTGCAAAATTAGAGTTTATTAAATGATTCGTAGCCCCACTATCAAGGATAAATTTGATCATACCGTCATTTCCTGTTTTACAGTTCACATTTGATGCAACGTTTTCACCATCGTACGAACTCACAAATGTCACTGGTTCTTCTTCATTTTCCTGATTTTCCGCACCATGTGCACTGTGTGAAGCCTGAGATCGAACGTTGTTATTATGTCCCAACCCAGAACTTTGTTGTTTTCGTCTTTGCCAACAATCCACCTTTTTATGTCCAACTTTATGACAAAAATGGCACTTGAATGGGAAACTTCCACTTTGGCTGTTTGCAGTAGCGCTCCCTCTTTGATTCTGGAATGTCTTCTTCCACTTTTTGTTGTCGTGGCCCACAAATGCAAGATTACGATCCGTTTGTTCAACATTTTTACTTTGCCGCGACTCTTCCAGCAACAACTTATTTTTGACAAAGTCTAGATCTACACTTTCTTCGTTTTGACAAAACATTACATCTATTGCAGTAGTTACCGACTGATAACTTTCTGGCATCGCTGACAACAACTGTAACACCGTTTCACTTTCATCGATTTTTCCACCCGCTGTCTTTAGCTCAGATAACGTCTGATCAAATTGTGTTAGAAACGTGCTTAATGAAGCATCACCAGCAAACTTCAAACTTCTAAATTTTCTTTGTAAAGCTACCTGTGTAGAAATTCCTCGTCTTGCGTAAGTCTTGTCAAGACTTTCCATCATCTCTTTAGCCGTTTTCTTATCTTTTAACATTTCCAGTACGTTATCCGCTATACTTTGTATTATTACCATTCGAGCTTTAACGTCCTTTTTATTAAAACTTTCCAATTCACCACCTTCACTGGGCGGCATTGTCTTCAGAGCCTCCGACACACCCTGTTGTTCCAAAAGCATTTTAACCCTGAATTGCCAGTTAGAAAAAGCGGCTGATGACCCATCAAACGGTTTCACGTAGAAAAAATTCTGCTGCTTGTCCGCCATGTTCCATGTACTATTGTACTTCATGCACCACTTAACAGCTTCCCGATTTTTTCCTGTGACTTAATTCACCAACTTCCCATTACCTTTTTAATCACTATTGCAACATACTGGCCACTGGGCCCATAACCTCATGAAGTTCTTCAGGCGTATGGTTAAGGAATTAAGCACAATAAATAATTAAGTACGCAAAACTAAAAATGCAATTTAATGTCCTCATAACATGTCGGCTACTTGAACACAACTTTTAAAACTACAGCGACATCTTACAGTTAAAATAAAGAACTCATGTATAATTGCTTGCTATCAACAGAATCGGGAGGTTTGGAGAGGTATGGAATACCCTTCCAGGCAAAAAAGAGATAGTCAATCTCTTTTACCTCCTTACCTTTTACCTTTAGGAATAATCCCCAGGTAAAAAAATGGTCAATCTTGTATTATCTACAACCATTTGAATACTTAATTTTTATTCAATGCTACAACTGACATCAATCCTTCGTACACGGGGGGAAGGGGGGGGCATTACAGACCCCCGGTGATATGGTCTCACTCAAAACTTTCAACCCTAAAAACTCTTTCGAAACATTTTGCAGTAAGTGCTGAACATTATTGAAGAATATGTAGAATTGGGGGGGGGGGGGGATGTAATGGCAGTTGTAAGTAAATGAAGATTGACTTTTTATAATTGGGGCCCTGGGGGGATATTTATTTTACCTCCCCCCCAGTTCAAATAAATAATTAGTCAATCTTCATTTACTTACAACTGGCATCAAGCCTTCGTTCAAAACTTTCACTCCTAAAAGCCCTTTCGAAGCACTTTGCTGTAACTGCTAAGACTACTAAACATTTTTGGTAAGCATGTAGAACCGGGGCGGGGGGGGGGGGTCTATCTCAATCTCCATTTGCGTACAACTGACATCAAAGCATTACCGTCCTTTAGTATGTACTCGTCAAAAAAGGGTGGTAAGTATCACAAGAGTCCTCGGAAGGTGACGTATTGCCAGGGAGCGAAGGGCGATCTGAGGGGCGTATAATACCCATTATTAACGAGCTCCTAGCGAGTTTATAATTTTGCGGTGTCTGTCCGTCTGTCCGTTAGCACGATATCTCGATAACGATTGGACCGATTACGATGAAACTTTGTAGGTGGATTCTTTATCAAATTTGTAGATCCGAGTTCGTGAATTGACAATGTAGGCCAAAAAATAAAGAAGGCCCTTTTGACATCTCCGTTAGTTATGAACCGAATTGCATGAAATTCAATATGCGCATAGCTTTAGCCATATCAAACGCAATTCCAAAAGTTGAGCCTAATCGATCAGCATTCACAGTGCCCTTTGCCATAGAGTAAATAATTACTCTATGCCTTTGCGCATCTCGACCATTTACAGACCGAATTGCAAACTTTCTTATTTATGAAGGTATTTAAATGTAATTTCATACATAGCCACTTGGAATAAAAACAAATTTAATGTCAGTTTCAAAATTTGGTTTTGCGCATGCGCAGTGCCAACTTTCTTATTTATGGAAGCAATTAAATGAAATTTCATATATACACTTTAAAGAAAAGCAGGTTTAAAATTTGGTTTTAAGGCCATATCCAGGAGTTCGTTTGCTATATTTGTTTAATTTATTTATTCGTATGAGTATATACTTACAACTAAACTCACGATGATCGTAAAAAATCATAACCGGGTTTTCCTGTTTACGTAATTCGTAAATTTTCCGATAAATGCTAACTCTGCGTAAATTCATCAATTTGGAGCGCAAGTACGAACTAATCTTTGATCCAGTGGAATATTGCGATTTTCCACGGCGTCGATTAAACACAATTCAATCTGCAAACAGCAAACGAACGTTTCTAGAAAGATCACGAACATTTTCGAGATTTCCCGAATATCCCCGAAGTTGGAATATCGCATTTCTCGGAAAGAACGCGTCACATCCGCTTTTTGTCATATCATACAGGGTGTTGAACATACATGAACACCTTTTCGAGCGGCGGAATACAGGTTACTGCTTCGTTGATGCAGTTTGAAGAATCAGATCGAGAACTGTCAGTAAAATAACTAAGCGCAAGGCCAAGATTTGAGAACAATTGGCCCAATGTAAATTTCCCTATGGCCCATTTTAAATAACTCAACGCTTTTGCATTGTCGTATGTCCCATCTTTAAAAAAAACACCGTGTATCTGTCGCTAGTTATTATATTTTATCGACTTGATGGCGCCTCGATTTGATGACAAATAATAAAAAAAATCACCTTTTAATGTTCCTACAACACCATCCAAGTGAAAGAGTCGGTTTTTCGTTTATTTAAAGCTCTATGGCCAAACAATGTATAGTGCTCCAACAAGGGCCTAAATAGTACGAGAGCGCATCGAAAGCTCTGGTTAGGTTTCGACAACATTGTGCAAAGGGTCTAAGCAGCTGTTCGGAGGCACTAGAACACCTTGGAAAGCTTCATAGAGCTTTTCATTTCTGTAGAAAGCGTTTAGAATGTCTTACGGTGCCTCATATGGTTGTTCAGAAACGCGCATATCAAGAACAGCTCTAATTTCTCTAAAACCCTTAAAAACCTTCCGTGCACTCTCTAGATCCATATAAGCCCTGTAAGCTCCTCTAGGATCATAGAAAGTCCAGGGAAAGCCTCTCAATCAGAGAGTTCTAGCAAACATTTTACAAAGAATCGGAAAGCTCCATGAAATCCCTATAGAGCTTTGGAAATCGCTTAGAAGGTCATGGAAAATGTGACTTTCATAGAGCCTCCTCAGTGGATTTTTGAAATGAATGCGCGCGATCGTGATTTTAGGATGATGTCCATAAATAAAACTCGATCGAACAACAAAGAAGCACAGTAAACTACGTTCAATTTCGTATTTCGCATTGGCAAATAAGTGACATCGTACTCGGTTCGATGCACTTTCGGGAGAGCAACATATATCTAAGTGGTTTTCTATCGCAGAAAATAAAGTGTTCCAAGCCGCGCATAAGTAGAGGAATCCACGGAGGAGTTAAAAATTATTAAGCAAGGTTTTTTTGATCGTTCTTAAAGATAGCAATCTTTTGCCGTTGGTATCGCATGTATTTAGATGAACCCATTGAGTCAGGAAGTTGCGGTTAATTTCAATAAACAAAAATTCCAAGCTAATGAGCCCAATATGAATAGTTATAAGGTGTTCTTATGTAGAGATTTTAGCTTCATGTTGTATTAGATTTGAATTTAAATTAGAGTTAATTCACAAAGACCGCGTGGCCATGAATTATTTTGAAATTCCTGATAGAAATTACAAATGGTAGAGGAAGTGTAAATTGAAACCAGCTCATTATTTAAATTTTTCGTCAATGTATCCAAAACTGTACGGTAATTTTGGTGTTTAATTTTTGCGAGCAAGCACATTCGGAAATCAGGGTCTTAAAATCACGTTTCAGGAAATTAGAAAAGGAGAAATTTGCCAGAGCCGTCAAGAACTTTCAAAATTTATCAGAAGGGACTTTTGGGGGGCGAAGGCTCTAAGAGACACTGTAGATCTACTACCTTGTTTTTGATGCTGTACAGGACTTGACCCTAGAAGAGCCTCGAACTCTCTTAATGACATGATTTTAAAACTTTTGAAAGTCTTGAAGGACTTTAGTAGTTCCTACATTTTATTGAAGGTGCTAAATTTTCAAAATGGCAATCTCTCATGCTATAAAAGCTTAATTAATCACTTTTGCTTTTCATTGTTTAACTGACTCATTTATTATACGCTTATTTGATTTATTGTTGTACAATTCTATAGTGAGTAAAAAATAATAAGAAACTGGTATTTTCCGGCGCTTCCTCGGACATCTCATCTTATCACAGATTTTCCAAGCTATCAATAAATAATTTCAATTATATACAAAGCAACATTAGCAACACCAGACGGTTATAAATCACAACCTAAACTCTCTAATTCCTCGACCAAGTGCACCATATCGCTGTACTCCAGTCCAGAATTCTGGAAGACAATTCGGAAGAAGTTCGGCAGACCTTTGATCGTCTGATACGTGACCATCATGGATCCCTTCTTCATCATTCGCTCCTTCATCTTTGGCGCGACCTCGTGAAGTCGCTCGTGAAAATTCGACTCGGAATCTGCGCCCCTCAGGCCCGGAGGAATGTACCAGAAGCACAAGTTGGTGAATTCGGGATTATCGACGACCATCCGAAATCCCGCCCTCTCCCTGATCACTTTCGTGAAGTACCTGGCGTTATCGAAGACTTTATCGACGTGCCTCTCGAAACCGTCGCTTCCTTTCGCCTTCCACATGAACCAAAACTTGAGGACGTCCGCTCTTCGGCCGCACTGCACGTGCTTGTCGCCGATATCGTAACGGGTGTCGTAGAACTTGTCTTTCTGGAAGAGGTAGGATGCGTTCGTCGAGTGCACCTCGGACAGTATGCCTTCGTGTCGTAGTAGAAATGTGGAACACTGCTGTGGGGCTGTTAGTAATTTGTGAGGGTTCCAAGTGACTGAGTCGGCCCTGGAATTAGAAGGTTAAGCTGGTTGCTTTCTAATACGAGGCTTTACCTGTGAATGCCATTTAGAATGTGTCTGTGCTTAGAAGACATAAGAACTCCTCCTCCCCACGCGGCGTCCACGTGGAACCACAAGCCGTAAGCCTGACAGATATCTGCGATTTTTTCCAGAGGATCGAAGGCGCCGTACACCGTCGTGCCGGCGGTTGCTGAGACCATGAACGGTTTCGCGCCTTCTCGTAGAGCTCGCTCGATCTCCTCAACCAGGTGCGAGGTATCCATTTTGCCCACCTTGTCGGTCTTGATCAGGTAGACGTTGTCGGTGCCAATTCCGAGGAAGGAAGCCATCTTTTTAATCGAGTAGTGCGCGTCTTCAGAAGTAAAAAGTACCAGGCGGGCGCCACCGTTAAGTCCACTTTTCTGAAACGAAAGTGATAAGTGAAAATTAAAGTGAAATTAACAGTAGAGAAAGTCTTACCTTTATATCTGGGTTAACCGCGTACCGCGCGCAGCTGATGGCGTACGCGTTGGCCATCGATCCTCCCGGACAAAAAATTCCGTCACCGTTCCCGTTCGGGTACCCGACGATTTCGCGCATCTCCCTCAGGACAACTTCTTCCATTAATGTGAAAACTGGCGAAACCTCGTAGGTGTACACGCTGGGGTTGAGGGCGTCGGTAAGCCATTGACCGATTAATCCGTAGGGATCCAGAGAGGAGAAAAGCTGATTGACGAAGTAGGGGTGCGCGGTTTTGACCGAGTACTGTATGGTGTCTCTGATGAGTCGCAGAAGATCTTCGTGCGTACTTCCGTGGGTTTTCAGTTCGAAGTCGAATATCTTCAGTAGCTCGTGGGGGTGGTGCCACTCGAGCACTTTTCCGCTTGTCGATGTCGACTTGAAAACTGCCTCCTTGATGATGACTTCGATGGACTTGCGAAAGAAATCCTCGTGTAGCTCGCGACTTGGCACATTCTTAAAAGCAATGCTCGGTTTCGCCAAAGCAACCCTGGCACATTTGTCTTCCGCGGCGGCATCGTCGTCGGAATGGATCGGCGAACCACCCGCAACGTAATGGACATCTTCGTCGCTGAAGACTTCCTGCACTTCGTCAGTGGCTGGCATGATTCCTCGATCTTGGCGACACGACTGAATCTGAACTCACTCCTCGTACACGTTTCAGTCACTTTTAAAGGATTAAAATCACGTGCGACATAGTAGTCCTTGTTTAATCACTTTCCCCGTACCGTTCAACTAAGGATATTGCGGTGCAGAAGTTCGCGCGTTGGGGTTTTACATTATTATGGATACACGTCATTTGCAATTAAAACTAAACGAAGCGGAAATTTAATCAGTTTAATTCAACCTTAAAGTTAATTTCGAAAAAATAATTAACATCTAGATACAAAAATTAGGGTTGCGCCGTGCGGACAGCCTTGGTCAGCGCGTTTCTTAAGCGTATAAAGACGCGCCTAAAACTAAATTGCTTTGACCTTCATTTTTTATTTCCTTCTTCTATGTATTGGTTTTGTTTGTTGACGTTTTTTTCGATACTTTGAACTGGCGGTAAGTAAACTTTCCAATTGCGAACGTCAGTTTTTCACCTTTTTTGCACGTGAGTATAAAATCCAAGTGTGACTCAGATGGACTTTACTTGTTAGTCTTGTCGATGTATGAAAACAAGAAAAGTACCGAAGTTGCCAATGGTGGTCCAAAGTACAGCAACGATTTTGACACTTTCTACAAAACGTTGTTTTGGGCCCATAATGAGAGGTGCGCAGATATAGATCTAAAGGTACTTGAACGCCATCCTTGAGCTCATTCCGTTCGATCACTTCAGTTCAGAGGAGGAGAAGAAACACTGAACACGCATGCAATTGGACATTTAAGTCTCTATCGCGCTTCTTCTTCTGCATTCCGAGTAGTGCTGGGCGATAAATGAATTGTTATCAATTTATCGATAAGTTTGTTTAGTCCGATAATTATAGATTAATCATTAATCGATAACGATGGATCGAAAGTTATCGATAATTATCGATTATTATCGATAATTATCGAAAGTTATCGATTAACGATTAATCAATAATTATCGGACTAAACAAACTTATCGATAAATCGATAATTCTCGATTATTATCGATAATTATTGATAACTTTTCATAATTATCGATAACTTTTGATAATAATAATAATAATATTGCCTTTATTTATCCCCAAAAACAAAACAGAAATAAAATATACTTCTACAAGGCGAAGTTCAGTTCGGCGGAGACTACCGCCGTCTGTTCTTCCACTTAACCTTGGAACTATTCCGACTGTTATTTACATTAAAAAATTAAACAAACTACAATATAAAAAATAAAATAAAAATAAAAAATAATAATTAAAAATTTAAAAAAATACTTTCCTTAGAACCTTCCGATAAAACCGCGATGAAATGACTAGGTTAAATTTTGATTTGATGTTGATGATGATGATAATAATAATCGTTAATTGTCGATAATAATAGATTATTATTGACATCTGTCGAAAATTGTCGATCTCTGATTGTTATTGATTAATCGAATAGCGATAATTATCGAGAGAAAACTGGATACTTTTTCATAAATCCTATCGATATAAATATATTCTCAATGCATACACTCGTTAACAATTTTCGTTATTTGGTATTGATATTGATAATTTAAATCAAAACAGGATGCTTTGAAAAATATTAAAACAACTATATATAGGTATTCCCTAGTTTTCTGAAATCAAAGGTGATCAACTAAAACTAGACAATAATCCTCAAAAATTTGGTGCCTATGTCCTTCAATAACCTCAAAATTATTAGTTTTAACAGAAACGATAAATGGTAATTAAGCATAATAGTATCTAATTCACGTCAACCAGCCTAAAGTAGGTTCTGAATTGTGATCATATTTTATAAGTGTCATGCGAATTCCGGAATGCTCTTACTTGATCGCTTTTGCGATAAATCGATGTAAGATTAATAGGTAGATTATCGATTTATCGACCAATCCTTTAAAATCACAATTAATCGATACATTAATTCAATAATTTTCGATAAATTCTCGATTAGTCGACCATTTCTTTAAATTAATCCACTATCTATTAATCGATAATTATCGATAAGTTATCGATTAATCGTTTTTTTTTGCACAGCACTAATCCCGGACCAACTGCCGAAATGTGATCTCGCATTTCGCACCCCGGGCCAACTGACGAAAGTCTTACCTATTACTTCAATGCTTCTTTCTTTACGCATCCTTCACTGCTTTTTATTTCACACGCCATTTGGCAGAAACTTTATACAAAAAAACTAAAATTTATGTATTTCTTCCCTTATCCATTTCTCTCCCTTTCCCTCCTCTTCCCGCACTCCTGCTTGTCCTTGCTCTTTCCACCAATTTGCATTTCCATACCATGTACTCTATATATTACTCTATCTCTTCATAAATTCTGCATTTCCTTTTTTTCCAGTCTACTCCTCTCTCTCTCTCCTTATTTCTGCAGCGAAACCTCGCTGTTATCTGAGATGCCCCAACCTTAGCAACGTCCTGTGAATATGATTGTCGATACGAAGCACCCTATACATCATGTTAGTTACACAAGCTGCCAACCGAAATCTGGTGGGATTACAGAAAAGGGAAAGAGAGCGAAGATGAAACGGATGGAATTTCTCGGAAGACCACGTGTTTACCATTTCAAACATTTGCAGTCCAGTTTTTTTCCTAGAAATGCGTGAAACGCAGGGAATGGGCGGTTTTTAGGAGTCTTAGATGAAATTACAGCGTGGCTTGGGGTAGTCAGTAAATACGATTTAACATGTGTGTTCATGGTCTTTTTTCTTGTAACCGGCTGAAGTGTAAAGTACGGCTTATCTTGAAATATTTTGTTATATGTACCTTAATCATTGCTGTGTGCTTTTGCAGGTGAGGTATTTGCTTTATTCAATTTAATCTATAAATGTGTGTAACTTAAATGCAGATTGTAACCCTTTACTTATGTACTTATGGATTCAATCACTTGTAGGTACCTCTTGATGTGTAACCTTTGTTCGTATTGGCAATCCTGTTTCATTGTCGGTAGGGCTGTATCTGTTCTGTACATATTTGTATATTGTACTTTTTATTCACTCTCGATTATTTCATTGAATTTGAAATGGCCCACGTCTACAGGCACCCCACTGGGCCTGGGTAATCCTACCGTTCGGCGAGGCATATTTAATATATCTTAGTTTTGTCTGATGTATGTGTTGTAATACCAGGGGAATGACTCAATTCCACTTTGGTTACTCATAGCGTGTATGTAGTATTTAACCCGGTCTCGAGAGGGCTCAAAAGTGATGTACATTAGATGTTAGCTGTAGGTTGTGTTCATTACTACTCCGAATTAGGTTTTCCTGCAGTTTTCCTAATTCGTAAGGTAAATACCGGAGTAGTATAGAACCACTTAAGAACCTCTACAGGGGCGCGGTATTGGTATTGGTATTAGCTTCAATATAATCTTAATCAGCTATTGCTTTTGGTGTTCCTTACCCATAAAACGCCCTCAGTGCCTGCTTAGAACCCAGTTATTACACAACGTAGGTGTCCTACATGACGATCACGATCTTAGTGCACTCGGAGTGGCCCCCGAGTGACAGATTCTCGCGGGAAACTTAAGCGAGAATATTCAAATGGGTAGCCATGTGTGATAACCCACCCTGATGGTTAGGCAACACACATTTACATCCGAAACAAAAATATAATATGCTCTGTATATAACCAAGGACGGTTTTGCGCAGATGCCGAATACCTACTAGGGGATTTTGGTAACGAAGCGAGGGGAATGGGAAGAAGATGGCGACGAGGTCGACGGAAGACACATGCTTTCCCGGTTTTTTTTTTTATTCTTGATTATTTTTGGTGGTGGTGTTTTGAAGATGTATTTACAGGTAGTAACCATTTTATTCTTTCTTGTACTAGATATTTAATCATTGAATTTCTTGCCACAATGTGATATTTACATTTTGCTGATTTTGCATAAACTACGATATTTGAATCATGGCGTACTCCATGCCTTTGTTTCGTGTACCGTTAGATGAATCCTGTTTGTAATACTGTACAGATGATTATGCCATTATTTTGTTTAATTAAGTAATTTACTTCTGTTATTCATGAGGAGTTGATTATCGGTGTGATGTTGCTATGTTCGATTGACCCGTAACAATTCCGTGAGGGAAGCACCTAATACAGTTTGATTGTTCGCTGTATCTGTTACTTTCTGTTTCGTGGCTCGCTACAGTTCTTGTGCGTTAGCTATACGAAGGGGGGGGCTCTTTTATTTGATGTTTTGATGTTTGTGTGTGCGAGTGGATATTTCTGTCTCCGTGGAGTAGGTACCTAATGCAGTTAGATCGTTCGCTGTATCTGTTGCTTACTCGTCTCGCGCAGGCTGCAGTTCTTAGCGTCTCGCATTAGCGAGAAAAGGGGGATCCTCTCATTTACATTTCCTCTATTTAAAATATGTTCTGTTTGAGCGATAATCGATTTTCACATGAATACTAGCTATTGACCAATGGCATTCTCACATGTACTTTTCGTGGTAAATTAAATTATGTTAACTGAAGGATGGAGTAGAGCCATACCATTTACATGTTTCCTATGTACATGCAATTTGTTTATTTGACGAGTTGTGTTATCTCTATTGATCGTACAGGTATCTTGATGTGTTTTTGTACTGAATTGATTTATCATGTTTTCCACTGCATTTATGATGTCTTGTGTATTTTGTTTTTATGAACTTGTTTAATTGCATTTGATTTGATTATCTGATTTTTATCATACCATTTGAGATGTTTTATTTATGTGTATTTTCTCTTGCATTTTATTGCTGTAGGTGATTTATTTTATGTATTTGTGTGGCCTGTGCCAGGGTTTTAGTCCCGTAGAAGGTTTCCCTGGCATGGTCTTGTGTGTGCGTTAATATATTTATTTGATCTTGTCATTTCTTACGCACAAAAGTTCTGTCTTTTATTTAATTCCCTTCCCGATTATGTCTCACGTCCCAACACATAAAAGAACCGATTACACAACGTAGCAGTCCATTCGTGCCACCCATATCGAGCCGATTGTCATCCAAATTCAAAAGTGCCGCGAGACTACCATCGTTTCGTCTTGAAAGGTAGGTGGCTCTGCTTGTAGTTTTTGCCAGAGTTGCCAACCGTAAGTATAGGGTAAGTCAACGTCTTCCGTGTCGGCTTGATAGACCCCCCTAGGAACATTACACATGTTAAGCTGAATTTATAGTTCCGTACCCGCAACGCCGTACCGTAACGTTTGGAATTAAACCCTCGCGTTAACGTTGCGTTAGAACGGTTACGGTACGTAGGAAATGCCCAAATCTTATTTCTTACGGTAAATCGTGCTAACGCGTGTAATGTTCCTAGGGGGTGCCGACACGGAAAACGTTGACTTACCCTATACTTACGGTTGGCAACTCTGGCAAAAACTACAAGCAGAGCCACCTACCTTTCAAGTCGAAACGATGGTAGTCTCGCGGTACTTTTGAATTTGGATGACAGTCGGCTCGATATGGGTGGCACGAATGGACTCCTACGTTGTGTAATCGGTTCTTTTATGTGTTGGGACGTGAGACATAATCGGGAAGGGAATTAAATAAAAAGACAGAACTTTTGTGCGTAAGAAATGACAAGATCAAATAAATATATTAACGCACACACAAGACCATGCCAGGGAAACCTTCTACGGGACTAAAACCCTGGCACAGGCCACACAAATACATGAAATAAATCACCTACAGCAATAAAATGCAAGAGAAAAAACACATAAATAAAACATCTCAAATGGTATGATAAAAAATCAGATAATCAAATCAAATGCAATTAAACAAGTTCATAAAAACAAAATACACAAGACATCATAAATGCAGTGGAAAACATGATAAATCAATTCAGTACAAAAACACATCAAAATACCTGTACGATCAATAGAGATAACACAACTCGTCAAATAAACAAATTGCCTGTACATAGGAAACATGTAAATGGTGTGGCTCTACTCCATCCTTCCGTTAACATAATTTAATTTAACACGAAAAGTACATGTGAGAATGCCATTGGTCAATAGCAAGTATTCATGTGAAAATCGATTATCGCTCAAGCAGAACATATTTTAAATAGAGAAAATGTAAATGAGAGGGCCCCCACTCGTATTGCTAAGATGTTAAGAACTACAATCCGCACGAGACGAGTAGGCAACAGATACAGCGAAAGATCTAACTGCATTAGGTACCTACTCCACGGAGACAGAAATACCCACTCGCACACACAAACATCGAAACATCAAATAAAAGAGCCCCCCGTCGTATAGCTAATGCGCCACGAATAAGAAAGTAACAGATACAGCGAACAATCAAACTGTATTAGGTGCTTCCCTCACGGAATGGTTACGGGTCAATCGAACAGAGCAACATCACACCGATAATCAACTCCTCATGAATAACAGAAATAAATTACTTAATTAAACAAAATAATCGCATAATCATCTGTACAGTATTACACAAACATGATTCATCTAACGGTACTCACTCAAACAAAGGCATGGAGTACGCCATGATTCAGATATCGTAGTTTATGCAAAATCAGCAAAATGTAAATATCACATTGTGGCAAGAAATTCAATGATTAAATATGTAGTACAAGAAAGAATAAAATGGTTACTACCTGTAAATACATCTTCAAAACACCACCACCAAAAATAATCAAGAATAATCAAAAAAAACCGGGAAAGCGTGTGCCTTCCGTCGGCCTCGTCGCCATCTTCTCCACATTCTCTCCTAGCTTCGTTACCAAAATCCCCCAGTATTCGGCATCTGCGCAAAACGGTCGTTGGTTATATACAGAGCATATTATATTTTTGTTTCAGATGTAAATGTGTGTTGCCTAACCATCAGGGTGGATTATCACACGCGTTTGTCTTCGGCAGTACTCGGGTAATTCACTGAGTTTAGCCTGACGTTCGTTTTGTTTATTTAATTATTGAAATTTTGTTGGTTATTTATTTTGCAAATTGCGCGCGTTTTCAATTATCATGAGTGAACAATTATTAAGTAATGTGATTCAACACTATTCCTTTTTATACGACAAATCAAAAGCGGATTATAAAGATCCCTCCAAAGAAGGCAACGCTTGGCGTACAATTGGGAATTCATTGGTAACCTCAGGTCCTCAACTTTGTTGCCAAGTTAAACTTTAGAAAATGGGGCGGGGAGGGGGGGACACATGTTCTACCCTTCATGGTATTCTAATGAAAGGTCTCATCGAAATAAATTGGTTTGTACAAACTATAACTTTCCCGTGTGGAGGGGGAAGGGGGGTGGAACTAGTTTTCTCCTTTATGGTACTCTAATGAAAGGTCTCAACGAAAGGAATTCATTTATACTAACCATAGCCTTCCTCCTCGATCCCTTGTTGTGATCGATTATAATTCATTATATCTTAAGAGTGAATTGTCAAGGAAAGTACCTACAAAGGGCGATTGGGACGTTTGGAAGAAATATAACTATTGGGCATTTCAATAAAATTTGATACATAGCCACTTGGAATAAAACCAAATTTAACGCCAGTTTCAAAATTTCGTTTTGTGCATGCGCAGTGCCAACTTTCTTATTTATGGAAGAATTTAAATGAAATTTGATACATAGCCACTTGGAATAAAAGCAAATGTAGCGCCATTTTCCAAATTTGGTTTTGTGTAAGATTCATCTTCTTTCTCACATTCTCGTTCTCCCGACTCTATTCTATCTTCTACATTTTTGTTTCCTCCTCTATTGTGCAGTTTGGTATCCGTCCGTTTAGCCGCAATTTTGTACTTCTTCAAAGTTCCCCCATTCCTTCTGTCGCGTTCCCCAGGACCTGCACTCTTCTCAATTGATACATCCACAATCAGCTGTTCACCAAGGTGCAGGAACGCAGACTAGTAATTTCAGAGGCAAACTCTACATTCCCGCCAGTCACCGTATAAATCATTCGGTAGCCGATGATAGCCAGACCGAATAGGCTAACCACATGGGCCCATCCTGTTGCAGCAATCACAAGATGCACTGTCCCACTCATTCTGAAACGGTATGGTGATCCCACCGACATTCAAGTGTTAGGTTGGAGCACTGCCACCTACCAAGCTGATTTCGCACTTGTGATTCTCCGCTCTACTCCTAGGAGAAATTGCTTGGAAGCCTTAAATATGTTAATTATTGGCATCCACTCCCTTCGCCCAGATGACTTGGGCACTCTCAGCACATACGGAGGTCCACCTGTGTATCTCCCACGAGACTCCAACATTCCTCAAAAATTTCGCAAGTGCCCTCAAATTCACTTGGCCCTACGTGAGCGCGTAGGTAGGTACATGACGGAATCCGTCGTCTGCGAGGAATTGAAATTGTACGGTTATCACCAATCGTGGTAGTTCCCAAGAGGGTTGTGTTCTGTCGTATTCTCCAAACGGGACATGCAAACAGCCCTTTCTGCAGTTGTCTGTTGATGAGGAGTCAGCGGATATACCTATCCACTTTTCAAGGGAAATGGAAGCAACCCTAGTCCATACTACTCCTGAAGGTTTAGTTGTGCCCACTCCAGGAGTAGCAGTCCGGCCAGATGACATTCTTGTTGGACTGAACAATTTCATGACGAACGCCTTTCCAAGATGCTTAACGCTTTGGCGGAGCACGGACTAAGTTAAAGGCTTGAATAATGCCAAATGCCCATTCCGCACTAGTTCATTTCAATTCCTGGGTTTTCAGTTGAGTCCACCCATTTGAATTCACGATTGGTGAGGCTCAGCGCCTAGCAACAAATCAGAGTTGATGGCTCTACTAGGCCTCATCCGCTTTTATGATGGTTTCATATTCAACAAGTCAACAATATTTGAACTTTTATACAGACTTCTTGAAGCCAACTCACCGTTTATCTGGTCTCAGAACCACGAAGATGCTCTGGAGCTCCTAAAGATGATGCTATCTGATCCAAAGCTTGTGCTCAGATACTATAACAGCTCTGTTTCAATCATGACCTTGCACCACTACTGGTCAAACACCGGATATCTGTACACCTTGGGACTGCATGAGCCTTTCCAGCGATCCAACTTCAACCCCGGTCTCAATCAATTGTGAATCTTCTGTTGGAGGCCGAGTGACCGCAGTCATGAACCCCAGTGGTCAGTATAGAACTCCTTACTGTTATCAATTTTTAATTATCGTTTTGCGCCTTTCCTGTTGTTTGTTTCTGCCCCCTTCTATATACCTTCTGGACATTACTTTTAGTGGTCTTCCACGGCACACCTTTTTTTATCTTCATAGCCCCCCTCCTTTCACCCTCTTCGCTCCTTGTTCACATAATCTACATTTTTTTAACTCTCTTCTTTTCACTTTTCCCCCTCTTTCAAGCAGTCGCTTCACGTCTGATGTCAGCTATAATCCTCGCGACTTCTGCGCACTTCTTTTACCTTGTCTCCACGCCTCTTTCAAGGATTCCCCGTTGCCCCTCGTCACCAATGCTTCAAATCACCCCAGGGTTCTTATGACTCGCTCTTTCACGTTTCTTATTCTTCAATCACCTTTCTATTGCTTCACCATGACGTATTCTTTCGTCACGCAATTTCCATATTCCTTGCTTAACAAAAAAATCTTGGAAAGTGTAGTCCTAACAAGCACCTAAAATACTCTTGTACACTGTAGAAAATTGTGTTGTGAAATGCCTTCGGAGATTGAGTTTAGAAAACTGTCCACACTCCACATCAGTACATTAAATTCCTTGATGTCTATACGGTACTGGGAAGGCTTTAAAATATTTTCGGAAAAGGTCTATAAAGCTTAGTAAATTGCCTGTAAAACCACGGGAATGACCTAAGGCACTTTGCACTTCAAGAAGGAATGGTGTGAAGTATATATAGCTCCACAAAACGCTTATAGGGTTCTGAAAAGACTACGAATGCTTTAAAATCTATAACATTTTCGGGAGCCCAATTTAAAATTTCTAGATCATTCAAAATCACGTAGACACCATCGATAATTCTACCAAAAATGGCTGACGCACGTTTATAAAGCAATCACGAACGCATATATATAATGCACGAACGCAGCCATGCAGACAAAGGAGTTTGAATGCAACCATTTTGTATCGAGCATGTTTTTTTAACCTCATTTTTATCACAATCAAATTATGTAAATAAATAATGACTTCTTTTAACAAAAAGGCGAACATTTTAAGCTACAAGGGTAGCAGCCACATGCGCCAGCGGCTGATCCTGTCCGTACTAAGCGGAAAATCTGTGAAAATTGACGAGATTCGAAAGCTCGACGATAACCCCGGAATACAGGAGTTCGAAGTGAACCTTATTCGCCTTCTAGACAAGATCACGAACGGCACGATTGTTGAGCTAAACGAAACGGGAACTTCGGTTTTCTTCCAGCCGGGCCTGCTGCATGGCGGAACCGTACAGCACGAGTGCTCTCTGCAACGTGGTGTTGGTAAGTCATACGATTTCGCTCGATGCGCTCAAATCAGTTTTATAGGCTATTATTTGGAGGTCTTGGTGATGTTGGGACTATTTTGTAAGGTACCGCTAAACGTTACGTTGCGCTGCGTTACGAATAACTGCCTCGATCCGTCGGCTGATCACATTTTGCATGGATTCTTGCCATGTTTAAGAAAGTTTATTTTGGATGACGAAGATTTGGAACTGAAAATAGTTAAGCGGGGTGAGTAATCGGTTGCAATCTAGTTTTCGTGTTCAGGGGGGAGATATTACGCTAAATATTATTAGGTATGCTTCCACATGGAGGTGGCGAGGTGAAATTTTCGTGTCCCATAAGTAAGCAAGTGCGGCCCGTCCAGCTTTTAGATGCCGGCATGGTGAAACGTGTGCGCGGCGTTGCATACGCCTTACGCGTAGCTCCATCCATCGCGAACAGAATGGTGGATTCCGCCAAGGGCGTTCTGTTAAAGTTTCTGCCCGACGTGTTTATCACAACCGATCAGCGCAAAGGGATACAGTCTGGTAAAAGTCCAGGTTTCGGCATTCATCTGGTCGCGGAGACAACTCAGGGGGTCTTCTACGTTGCGGAACAGGTATGCAATTTTGTGCTGATAATTGTTGTATTAGGACAAGATCTCACTTAAGGTGCAACCCCATCAGTTTACCAAGGGAAATACATTTTTTAGCAATCTTAATTTGTAAACAAACACATTGCAAATGGGTTGCCCTCGGGGTTGCCTAAGAAAATTTAGTGAAGACTGCCTTTAATTAAAATAATTAATTTCTGTCTTCTTCTATCACATGGAGAGAGTGCATCCACACTCTCTTACATTGATGCCTACAGTACGGTTGTCGCAATTTTAAGTAACGCACGAGAGAGAAACTTGTGTATTGTTCCGTGTGGAAGAGGACAGAGCGTAACAGTACGCATCGATGTAAGAAAGTGCGCATGCGCTCTCTCCATGTGATAAAAGCAGACAGAAGTATTAATTTCATTTATTTTAAATAAGGGTAGTCTTGACTTAATTTTTTTAGGCAACCCATTTGCAGTGGGTTTGTTTGCATATTTAGATTGCTAAAAAATGTTTTCCCTTGGTAAACAGTTGGGCGAAGGTTGACCTTATATGGGATCTCAGACTACATTCCTAATTGTGTAATTTGACAGATGTCACAACCGGCGGAAGCTGCAGATGTGTCTTTACCAGAGGATGTCGGAGCCAAGGCCGCTCAGCGCTTGTTACGACAAATTTACCTGGGAGGGTGTGTGGATCCCGCCGCGCAGTCTGTGGCCGTTTTACTAATGGCGCTTTCACGAAATGACGTTTCAAAGATTATGGTGGGGCCTTTATCCAATTACACAATCAGTTTTTTAAGACATTTGCGAGAATTTTTCGGGTTGACCTTTCATCTGGAGCATTGTGTCGGGGATGATGATAGTGAGGGGCGAGGTAGTGATAAGATTCATATGACTTGTGTCGGGATCGGATATTCTAATTTAAATAAGCGCACAATTTAGTATATAAATTGTATTGTAAATATAACGTTAAGTTTCCATTCTTTTTTTAAATAAAATTGTATTCTTGCGATAGAATTGTGGACAAGTGGGATTCTGCAGGCCAAAATGTATAAGATTTCGGTAAAATAGCGAGACTATACACTTGCCATTATTTGTCCAAAACATCCGGAATGTTCAAGATTGGGCCGCTACAGTCTAAGATCTAAGGTCAACCTTCTCTCATCTGTTTACAGAATGAAATACATTTTTGAGCAATCTTAATATGCAAACAAACACATTGCAAATGGGTTTTGCCTAAAAAAATTAAGTCGATAATAACTACCTTTAATTGAAATTGGTGTACTTAATTAATATTTCTGTCTACTTCTATCACATGGAGAGAGCGCATACGCACTCTCTTACACTCAATGACTATACCATGAGCAGCGATTACGCTGCGTCCTTCTCTTACAACTATGAAACTAGCAGAATGTGTGTGCTATGGGAAAACCATTAGCTACTGCCTAAATGGGACGAACATTGGAACGAAAAGCGAAACCCAGAAATAAAAAGAAAATCTGGGGCGGCGGCCATAACTTTCACCGAGGATAAAAAGACATAACGACCAACCCAAGGGGCGAGGAATGAACTGGCGGAAGAACAGAAACTAACATTGGAAGCCAGAATAAAGGGTGAATTAAAAATGCCTAATAAACTAGTAAAACAGTTGCACGCAAATGTACTGTTCACATTACTGAGAGTATACGTTGTTCGCACTATAGAGTAGTCAATAGGAATGTTTTGTTGTTCGCATTACTGAATGTTCATACACAGTGTCCATTTTTTGAGTGCCACATGGGGATCGCACTTACCTTAAGAGATAGGAAGTTGGTTAAATGGGGGCAAAGTTGCAAATTTTCGTGCTGAATAAGAATCTGAAAAGAAATTTGAAATAGGTATCCTCAATAGTTTTGAAGATATCGCAAAAAAACGAATATTTGTGATTTTCGTTTTTAATTTATTTTTATTTTATTTTATTATATTTTTAATTTATTTTTATATTTAACTAATCGTAGTAGACGTTTCTAATTAACACATTATTCGGACACTTTTTAATGGAGAGTTCAAATATGGCATCCTGTTTTTAATAACTTTCAAGATGACGGAGAAACACGTGGCAACTTTAGTTTTTCTTATGGGCGCCATATTGAATTTTGACATTTTGGGATTACGCTTTTTTTCTCTTTACAACGATATATCACACACACACATGGCGGTTCATTATCACAGTGTTCCTAAAAATACAATTTTTAATTTTTTTAGAACTTATTTCATGTAGTGTCATTTAGGTTTATGCTAGTTGTATTGCGAAAATGCCTTTTTCAAGTGCAGATCAAAGAGATATAATCCAGATTTACTACACTTCTCATCGAAATGCCCTGCACATGGCTGCTGCTGCTGCAACATACTTAGCAGCGTTATCCAGAGCGGCAAACAACCTAGTTTGAGGTATTTTTCTTTGCTGCATAAAAACTTGGGCGAATATGGTTCTTTTAAAAGATGTAGACAGCAATATGGTGATAGACCCAATGAATATGAGCAGGCAATTTTGCAAGCGGTAAAAATTTTACATGATTACAACGAAGTACCATAATCGCTATTCATCATGTTGCGTCCTCAAACTAGAATAAAATATCCTTTCGTTTTTCCTTTAATGAAAATACCCTGTACATAATCGTTTTGCCTTGCCTGTAAGCATTGTAGTTACAATGCTGTAGCCTGTAAGTTTATATTCCTACTTATGTTACGTCTGCGCATAAGCCGCAGAATCGCTATATGCACTCGTCGCGCAGGATTCGTCCCATTCTTCGCCGAGAAGCTATCGGCTCAATAACGTTGATGAGAATTCGCCGTTCATCAATGGTCGATTAGCCTTCGTTGTTCGCATATAGATCTTGATCGACTCATAGAACAAATCAAGATGTCGCCGTGCAGTTCGCACCGTCGTTATTGTTAAGAAGTAAAACGTCAACACCGCACATCATGAAGATTTCGGTTGTGACAAAATCGTAGAAAAGAGCAATCTTCGTCATTGCAATATCGCCTTCGTTGTTAATGGACTTCGAAACAACAACATTTTTTATAATAAAACGTTTATTTTTGTGTCTATATTCTTTCATTCCCAGCATAAACAAGGCCTTGAAAGTACCTAATTCTTTGTTATCGAAGCCCCCTTGTACGGTACGCATCATTTAATAATTAGTTAGGCGCAAGATCCATCAGTATGGTCTCCTCATGAGAAGTTACAGCGCAGCTGAATTTGGCATCCCATCAAGTTGTTTGGAGAATTCTTAAAAAACACAAATATCGACCTCTGGCAATATTTCCCTTAGACCATATAGTACATGGACTGCTACATATTAGCCCTATGCTTTCAATACAAAATGGGTGGTCACGGATAGAGGGCACTGTAGCCGTGGGTATGTGAATCTTAGGGTAAACTAAAGTCGTATGAACACCACTCGGATCGCGTATAAAGCGTAGCTTTTATGGTAATAGCGTAGTACGGGAAGCTTTAAATACTCTTGATTATCTTCTATACGTCCGCAAATAAGAATAGGTTTGCTTTTTTTGCCATATCTATACAATTAATTAATTGACGTTTGTGAATTTATAGGTTGACAGCCTCAAATCGTGTCTCAACGGACAATTTCGGACAGACTCGTTTACCCTGAAACGCACATACCCAGTCGATGTCCTTGACCATATTTTAGTTACAATTAGCAGTCCATGTAATTATGGTCTAAGATATTTCCCAAACGCTTCATCCAGGAGACCATGAACGACGGGTAGCTTTTTGAACGTTTGTTAATAGGGATTCAAGAAAATGCAAATTTCCGAAATGACATCATATGGTCTGATGAGTGCAAATTTACCAATGCAGCAATGTTTAATCTCCACAATGAACATTACTGGTCAATTGAAAATCCTCATCGATTTCAAGAACGACGACCACAAATACGTTTTAGCGTTAACGTACCTATATGGGTCGGTTTATTATTGGCCGATACAATAATTGGTCCTTAAATGTACGAAGATGACACTTTAAATGCTGATCGGTACCCCCATTTCCTGAGGACATTTCTAACCGATTTTATTGACAATAACGTTCCTCTTCATCGTTTGAACTCAGTGTGGTTCCAGCAAGATGGCGCACCGCCCCATGTTGCTAGGAGGGTTGGGGAATGCTTATCGGAATTGTTTCCCAATCATGTTATTGCTAATAATGGCGACGTACGCTGGCCGGCGCGGTCACCTCACCTGTCTCCCTTGGAGTATTTTTTGTGGGAAACAACGAAAAACGAAATTTACAAAACATTGCTAGCCGACCTTGATGAACTTCGTCATAGAATTGTGAGCACTCAGGCACAGATTAGAAGAAGGGATGTGTCAAGAGCCATTGCAAATCTTGGGAGGAGATTGGCACTGTGCTCGGAACTAGGAGGTGGGCAATTTGAACACATGTTGTGATGTATATTTTGTTCTAACTTTAATTATAATTTTTTGCAAAACGAAGGTTCAATTCTGTTCAGATGAAAATCAGAATTTCTACTTCTCTTTCAACGCTGCAACCAGACCACAGAATAAGACCTTCACAGAACAGAAACATAAATGGCGCTAAATTGTCACCGATTACAGCGTTTCCCGTGGTTGTACGGAGAACTATTTATCGCAGACTCAAATATTTTTTTGCAAAACCTGTAATTTTGCTCGTTACAGGAAATATTTTGACCGTCGATTTTATTCGTGCACGTGGTTTTACACATGTCAATTTTGACTTTTGAAAGATTTAAAATATTAGTACGGGAGGTAGCGTCCTATTTGACCGGACCATTTTCGCAAAGTTCATCTTTCTACTATAGATTTTTGATCCATTACCTATCAACGATAGGGGCGTCAGCTGGTTCAAAAGCGTGGCTTAAGATGGCGAGAGACTGCGAAAGATGTAAAACAAAATTGTTTTTCGGACCATTTTCGCAAAGCTGAAAATGGTATATATAATAGTGTACAATGTAAAAAGAGCATAAATAAACCGATACAACGAAATATCGAAGGATCCTCAGTATTACAATCACTTTTAACGACAATTTATTTTAATCTTACAAAATACATTTTATAGTTAACAAAAATGCATCAAATTCATGTCTGGGGCATTGAGTCTTGGTTTTTTTCCCAACGATCTTGGTGCATAAATAACGATTTTGACATGTTTTGGTCAAAATCCACGTGGTCGCCCAAAATGCATCAAATTCATGTCTTGGGCATTGAGATAATGCCCCTAGTATTTTCCCCAACGATCTTAGTGCATAAATAACGATTTAGACATGTTTTGATCAAAATCCATGTGGTCGCCAAAAATAGATCAAATTCATGTTTTGGTCTTTGAAATAATGCTCTTGGTCTTTTTCTCAACCATCTTGGTGCATAAATAACGGTTTTGACATATTTTGATCAAAATCCATGTGGCCTCAGAAAAATAATTTAACATTTTTGAATCACACACATGCGGTTATCAAACGTGCACGTTATCAACTCTTTCAGCATCAAGATAATGCGTTTGAAAGCTTTTACAACTCTAAATTCATGTGTAAAGAATAATTTTGGGTACATTTTGCTCTAAAACTTTTGACCTAGACCACAGAGAGAGTTATATTGAATTGTTACACTTCTAAGAGTCATAGGGAATAATCTAGCGAAAGTCCGAACTCGATACATGACCTAGGGAATGAAATATGTTGATTTCTATTATATTGAGTACGCAGTTTTTCCTGTTCCCGATTCACTCGAAGTCCTATAACTTTTGTTCCTGTTGAACCAGCTTCCTGAAAATCAATAGCGTCCGTCCTTAATGTCCAACGTACCCGTACACCAAATTTCAACACAATCGGTCACTTTTAAAAAGAGTTAGAGCGCACACGGACGGACGGACGGACGGACGGACGGACGGACGGACGACAATACAAAACTATAAAGGATCTGAGGATCCTTAATAACTGTCAGCTGATATTTGAATGTGGCAAAACCTGTTAGCTGGGCGTCCAAAGTGTAGCGTAGTGTTAGCGCGCGCTAGCGCGCTCGGCCACTTTCAATTTTGATGACCCAGCTTATACATTTTTCCACGTTGTCGTGTCAGATAGCAAGTGGTTTCCTTTTTTTTGCGCCATAAACTGATGACGTACTCATTTCCATGCATGCTGATGTCATATTATTGGAGAAAAATATGATTGAAAGAGAATACATATGAGTAAAATGGTATAATATCACATACTGTATAATAATATTATACATGAAACATTGTATTTTATAATTTGTAACGTGCGTTAAGGACATATGTATAATAAATCAAAATAGACAAAACAAACCAAAAAAAAGGAAACTAATAGCCCTAACCACGGCTGCGGCTGCTCACGGAGAGACTGTAGGTATGACTGTGTGTGATTATCTTTCAGACGCTACCAACTTTTATTTCCCTGTTAGGGAGCCGTGCCCAAAAATTAAAAAATAGCCTTCTTGTGGGCGAGGAAGCTAAGGAGAAAATAAGACAAACACTCCCGCAGACCCGGTCTGTTTTCTTGTAACGCATTTTTTAAGAATTGTCTAAGAAATGTGTTATTGGTTGCGTTTTGTCCTAACAGGAAAATAAAAGTTAGTAGCGCCTAAAATAATCTTACACAAACGTACCATAATCTCTCCGCAGCCGTGGTTAGGGCTATTAGTTTCCTTTTTTTAGTTTGTTTTGTCTCTTTTGATTTATTCTATGTCCTTAACCACGTTACAAATTATAAAATACAATGTTTCAATTTATGTATAATATTATTATACAGTATGTGATACCATTTTACTCATGTATTCTCTTTCAATCATATTTTTCTCCAATAATATGACATCAGCATGAATGGAAATGAGTACCTCATCAGTTTATGGTACAAAAAAAAGGAAACCACTTGTTAGCTGACACGACAACGTGGAAAAATGTGTTAGCTGGGTCATCAAAATTCAAAGTCGCCGCGCACGCTAGCGCCCGCTAACGCTACGCTACACTTTGGACGCCCAGCTAACAGGTTTTGCCACATTTAAATATCAGCTGACAGTTATTTATGCTCTTTTTACATTGTACACTATCATATATACCATTTTCAGCTTTGCGAAAATGGTCCGAGAAACAATTTTTTCTTACGTGTTTCTTAGCCTCTCATACCATCACGCCACGCTGTCGCGCCAGCTGACGCTTGTTTTAAGTGTTAACTAAGCAAAAACTACCAGGCAGAATAAAAAGTAATTGTGCGAAAATGACCCGTAAAAATAGGACGCTACCTCCCGTACTATATGAACAAGTTTATGTGACCGTAAATGTGTTGTGTGGCGCAATGTAACGATAAAATATCAAAAAGGCATTGTTTCCCATATTTTGAAACAGATTGTTTTGTGCTTGAAACGCGAAGAGGGTTGAAATTTGCTGTTATTTCTCTCCTATTTATGCAAGGTATTGAATTTATAAATTACCAGCGCAAAAGGGTGTAGACTTGAGTTTTATATTTATATAGACGTAGATAGGTACTTATATTGTATATTCGTTTAGACAATGAATAAAAAATACGTTTTAGATAATTCAACAACTTCCACCCTCGCTTCTCAAATAACTAAGCACCAGGATCAAAAACTTGTGTGACAATTTGCTGAAGCGGTTTTATTACTTCTTGGAACAAAAAATTTAGTTCTCAAGATATTTTTTAACAAAAATATTTAGTCCAAACAGCAATTAAAACCAAATATTTCGTACGACAAATCGTTATGTAAGGATCTTTCTGCATAGTGTTAACATCTACAAAGCGAAAGTTCCACTCACTTCTGAGTTTTAGGTATATGTAATTTGTGAACATGTAATTTAAATTCTCTGTGTTAAATAATGTAATGTGATTGTATCTAAATACACTTTAATTTAACAACTGAGTATTCTTTATCGATATTTATGATTTAGATCGAATTGGGGAAATGACTTCATGGCTTTAGAAGCTGGTCACCAGACTCTGATTTTGATGCTTTAGTTCACAGCACACCCACCAGGGTCCGCCAACATACCATACAAACAAAGATCATGATCTTTGATACAAATTAAAGTCACTGATATAGAAAGTACCACAGAAATCTTCAGTGGAAAGTACCTCAATCATCCGCCATTTTTGGGCAAATTTGCTGCCAACTTAAAAAAATTGATAAATAAAATCTGAATAGCTGTAATTTTTTATAACCTAACTTCATAGTACTGTCATGTTTTATAAAAATATATACAGATATCTCCAAACAGGTGGAACAATCCCTAACATTAAAGTTACTAGAATCTGGTAACTTCCGCCATTTTTGAGCAAAAATCATGCGTTCTCTCTCTAACACACGAGCCCAATGGATTGCGGTACTTTCTATATTTAGTGACTTTAATACAAATTTGTAACATTGCTGTTTCTATTCTGAGAAGGCCGTATTCTGTGAACCAGACAGATATGGATCAAACTGTCAAACTTTTGTTTACAAAAAGAACGTTTTGTTTTTCCAAAGCACCTTTTCAAAAAATTAAAAATTGTATTTTTAGGAAAAATGTGATATTGAACCACCATGTGTGATATATCGTAAAGAGAAAAAAAGACGTAATCTCAAAATGTCATAATTCAAAATGGCGCCCATAAGAAAAACCATATATATAAGAGAAAAACTAAAGTTCCCCCTTGTTTCTCCGTCAACTTAATAGTATATTATATACCGCGGGACTGAAGTAGTACTTTTAATCCCGAAGGTAAAGTTTATGGCCCGACCGAAGGGAGGGCCATAATTTACCTGAGGGATTAAGACCACTACTTCAGTCGCAAGGTATATACGATATTTTTCGTACTTCCGAAACCGAAACACTTAATATGTATGGAGTTAGAGAACGCGTTCTTTCAAAAAATCACTGCTTAACAAGTTACCATAGGAACGTTGCGTTGTATGACAATCCCTATGCCATGGTAACAAAAATAATTTGGAAACTGTCATTGCTAGTGTCATAATTTTGGTGGTGGATGACAAAGGTGTATTTGATATTGATAAAAAGCGGCCAAAGTAGGTAAAGAATTGATACCACCGAAATCCAAAAAACTACATGAGCAGCAGTACGATGCGTTTAAGAAGTAGTGCCGCATACAAAATGTGGAACAACCTACTGAAATTGCCTTGTTAGTAATTACATCCTTCCGGGATTTTTGTCTAAATTTAATCCCGGCGGGACAAAAAGTGACACTTCAGTACTTGTCATAATGGAGTGAAGTTGTTACTTTAGTCCCGGAAGTACGAAAATATTATTAAAAACAGGGTGCCGTGTTTGAAATATCCCTTAAAAAGTGTTCGAGTAATGCGTTAATTAGAAATGTCTACTACGATTAGTTTATCATAAAAAATCAGAAATTTTCGTTTTTTTGCGATTTCTTCATAACTAAGTTTCAATTTTGCCGCCATGTTACCAACTTTCTAACTCTTAAAGATAAGCGAGATCCCCATAGTGGCACTCGAAAAATGGACACCGTGTACCAATACTATGTGAAGGTTCACAAAAACGCGGGTCTACTGCATATGTCTACTGTATAAGTATATATTATTTAAAAACTTTATTTTTGTAAATATAGAATTTGGATGGTGTATTCATTTGATAGTAATTATGTACAATTAGTAGGGGAGCTAGCACGAAATCCACTGAACGAGAATGATCAAAATTTTAACCGATGGAGTTCCATTTTGCCCTATCAAAGTATGCTAAAATCGATCGTCTGCCGCCTCAGGTCATATGACTTAAGGCGCTGCGGGTACTTCTTGCGGTACCAATTCTGAAAGGTTGTCTTTCGAGAAAATAAGTTATACACCAAATGAAAACGTTGATAATAGCTCTTAAAAAAATATTTAAAAAAATCGCGTACACTTAATAACTCCGTAAAAAAACAATTCTTAGTCGGTTTTTCACGAACTTTCTACGATTAGACGAATGAAGCTGATTTTTTCTACAGACTGATGATAGGTACAACTAATGACTTAACGGTGTTTCGTTTTTAAATTTTTTCTCTAATCATACGATTATCTTATCATCTTAAAATTATAAGATATCTTATAATTAGAGAAAAAAATTAAAAAAGAAACACTCTCGTAGTCATTGGCTGTGCCCATCATTAGTCTGTAAAAAAAATCAGCTTCATTTATCCGACGGTAACCTAGTTATATCTGTAGAAAGTTCGTGAAAAACCGACTAAGAATTGGTTTTTTACGGAGTTATTAAGTGTACGCGATTTTTTTAAATATTTTTTTAAGAGCTATTATCAACGTTTTCATTTGGTGTATAACTTATTTTCTCGAAAGACAACCTTTCAGAATTGGTACCGCAAGAAGTACCCGCAGCGCCTTAAGTCATATGACCTGAGGCGGCAGACGATCGATTTTAGCATACTTTGATAGGGCAAAATGGAACTCCATCGGTTAAAATTTTGATCATTCTCGTTCAGTGGATTTCGTGCTAGCTCCCCTACTAAATACTTATAATTTTCATAGCCTAATGCACCTGTCAAACAGGATCCCAATTATACATTAAATGGTTAAAAATTAACAGTAACGATTCAGTATAAAGGTTTAAATTCGCTTAATTGCTATCAATATTACTATCGTCACTATCTGAACTAACATCGGGATTAACACCACTCTCTTGCATCCGCGTATATTTCTCGAGCACCTCCTCCATTCTTTTGCTACCATTTCTATAGTTCTCGCGTAATCTGTTAGTAACTTCCTCGTTATTTTGTGCGGGATCCTCGGTTCCGGCAATAAAATCACTGTGCGAATCGTACAAGTCCAACGAGCGCTTCTGTTTCATAGACAACCCCAATTTCTCGAAGCAAAACTTTACCTCCGATTTGAGTTCCTCCTCGCGAACTTGCATACCCTTATCGGCGACGCACTTTCGAAGGCACTGATCCATATCGTAATACGTCGGAAACTGAAGAAAGTCCCTAAATCGTTTATTAATGACCCGATTGAATTCCGGAAATTTCGACTTGGTAAAATTAATTTTCGTATACAGTGGACGATCCATGTTCGGATCCTCCTTGCGGATCTCGCAAATTTTCCTAAAGATCTTCGTCGCCCTCTCTTTGTACTTGGCTGCCTGCAGATAGTGAGAGTTCTCTTCGTCGTCGAAGTTCACCTCCGCATTGTCGAGCTTCGCTATCCTACGATTGACCAACCTGAGGGCCTTCTCCAGCTTTTTCAGGTGCTGCTTTTTCGGTCCTTGAATGACGATCGTGTTTTCCAATTCGTTAATCTTCCCCTTCAGAAATTGGAAGATTTGATCGAACCTCGACGACGCGGTCCGGGCATCGTATTCGACGTTTGTATCCCTATCGAGCACACACTCAAAATCTTTTAAATTACACTTCAGTCTTTTTAGCTTGTCGTAGTAGGCTTTCACTTTGGGAATGACTTGAATAAAAAGTTCTTTATGATCCGATCGCGTTACAGTCTTGAAGCACTTATCGAAGAACCTCGTCAGCTTTTCTTCAATTACGTCTGCACTATCAGTTTTAGGTTCGGTACTTTCTAAGGGAATTGGCGCCGATTCTGCAATACCATGGCCTACTTCTTCACGACCCGAATTAATGGAGTTGTCACATTCTGCTCCAGGTTCACATTTGGTAATGCCGTTTTCTTTGGATACTAGATGGGACTGCGACGGTTCGTCGTCTGATGAGTCCAGGCAGATTGTTTTCGATGGAAGTGTTTGCAATTTTATTCGTTTCCTCGGTTGTTTGTAAGATGAGCTTTCATCGTCAGAGGAAGATAGTGTTATCACGTCCATTTATAGCCAATATTCGACAAATTACACTTTATTGGAAGTAAATAACACATGGACTCGGTATTTGAAAATATTTTGCAGTTTTTGGAGGTTATGTCCGTTACTTTTTAATAGAATGGCTGCGTTCTACGAAACTAGCACCTATAATACGATAGTTATAAATTCAATGATTATACGACGTGACTGAAAAATGCGCATGCGTTGTAATAATAAAAAATCGGTTTTGTTTCGACCATAGACATTAAAGAAATAACGTTTAATGTGTGCGGTGTTGCAGCTTGCGAGTAATGATGCTAATTGAAGAGCAAGAGACGTCCAGCAGAACCAACGCCGAAGTAAAAAAATAAACAGGAAAAGGGAGTGTGCCGCCATTGTAAAATGGAGATTAGAGCAGACGAAGTTAGAGGGGAACCATCACTACGGAAGAAATACTGAACGTTGAGAGGTTCCACCCTGTATATACAACTTACGACGATACATACATTTTTGAGAGTTGGCAACCATGCAATTTCTAGGTGGGGAAAAGCTGCGCCACCTAGAAAGCACGAACGGGAGTTACGTTTGGCATCTTGTTCCCAGAACAAAAAACTTAGAAGGGAAACGTAAACGGGAACAACTGAGTACAAATATAATTAGTTTGGAGAATATTCAATAGATGGCGCATAGTTAGCGTGCGTGTTAAAGTTACTAAAACTAGTGACTTTAGTACTTGTCGCCATTATGACAGTTGAATTTTGAATTTTGATTGACGACTTATTGTACTTTAAGTATAATTACTATTCATTACTACAATGAATTATGCGTATACAAATCGAAAACGTAAATGTTGTGTGACAAATTGTGAAGACGTTTCCCAAAAATGGAGCCCGAAGTTTTTAAGAATTGGTTTATTGGAAGAAATTTACACAAAAGTTTTTGGTTTGTGAACGCCATTTTTCTGGTTGCGCTTTAGAACGTGGAACACGAAGAGGTTTAAAGCGTGTGGCAGTACGCACATTATCTTTAGCAGGTAACACTAATTGAATTGTAATAAATTGCTACATATTTTGTTTTTAGAACGATCTTGAGAGCATCATAAAGTAGAGTTCCATGAAGTTGATCTTGTATCTTGTATATCCATATTAAATTAAATATAACTCCTTGATTGGATTAATTGGAGTTGTTACTTATAAAACAAGTGGTCTGTACTCTTTGAAGTCCCTGACTGCTGAGGTGCATCGGCATTAAACTGAATTTATCTGGATCTCTAACAAACAAAATTGGACTTCACTGGCTGGATTCATTTACCTTTTAGGTTTCAGCTAGTCAAATCCAATGTTATTGTTACAGATCCGGAGAAATGCAGTATAATGCGGACGTAGCTTACATTTTAATATTTAAATTTGGCGCCATTCACGCAAAAGCTGCTGAGAAGATACACGAGGTGGCGCGTCATTTTTACATTACATTAGAGTTTCCATTCTAAGTTTGTTGTTCTATGATCTTGTTTTGAATGGCGGTCGTGAACGCGTCTCGCTCGATAAATGTTTGTTGTTATTTTGTGTTATTTAATATAGGTAGTAATTTTTGCATTTCTTTATATCGAATTTGTGTTTTGTATGCCAACTTTTTTTTGTGTTTGAATCTTTCTTTTTGAAATTTACTTGGTTTAACTGCAATACAGAATCATATGTGTGATACCGTTATGCTATTGTTTGTAATTGTTTACGTTTTTGGTGTAATGCTTGCTTAATTTATGTATTTATTGATGTTGATTACTTAGTCTTGTCCCTGATATATGTAACATTCATGTAAGTTTTGATCATTTTATTTTAATATGTGGAAATTACCGATTCGTTTGATGTATGTACTGATTTGTTGTTTGTTACTAACAATTTTCTCCGTGAATGAAGTAGTCACGGGGGTGGTAAAAACTGTAGTCAAAATAGAAGTACGACACCTAATTCCGTGATTGTCTTCGACATCCAACTGTAGGTTCGAAACCCCGAACCAGGGGCGGACTACCCATCTTGCAGGAGCGAGATTACGCTAATCAAAGCTCTTCAGTTTAGAATCTATGTGCGTTAAATGAGTCGCGATTCAATAATTTCCACATATCCACAGAATTTAGGTACCTGCTACTACCTGACCCATTGTTCCCAAAAACTTGCTTTTAACTTTTAGTTTACAACATTGTATATATGCATTTACTATCTTTGTTAACTACTGCTTAAACTTTTAGAAAATATTTTGTTAGTTAACTTTTGGACCGTATTAATCAAACTGCAAGGTTTTTCTTACGTCGTACTCTTTTTACCCTTAGCAGTTACTTTTGCGAGAGTACGACACCTTTTGGCTTTGCTTGCTTTGTTTATATTAATGTACATCAACTAAATTTCCGAGCTTTTACAATCAATAATAATTACGATCATGATTAAACAAACTTTTCACAATTTGAGTGTTTTATTTTACGTTCCTTTCCTACCTGTGCTTCAGGTCAAAGCGTTGTCTACAACCAACGTAAGGGGGCCCGGCCTTAGATGTTTGATCACGTGGCACTTTTCAAATTTAAGCGGGATCTTGTTTAGTTTTGGAGGGAATCTTAGGAGGGAATAGTCATTGGGGTGGCTATTTTTAAACGTTGCCGGGTTGACTTGATTTCCGTGTTCTTGTAGTGTGAAGTTAGCGTAGAACCTGGGGGTTAACATGGTTTTCTTTCGACCACAGACATTAAAGAATTAACGTTTAAGGCGGGCGGTGTTGCAGCTTGCGAGTAATAATGCTAATTGAAGAGCAAAGAGACGTCCAGAATCAACGCCGAAGTAAAAAAAAACAGGCAAAAAGAATGTGCCGCAATTGTAAAAGGGATATTAGGGAAAGGGATATTAGGACAAACGAGGTTAGAAGGGAACCATCACTACGGAAGAGATACTGAACATTATTCAGATGAGGTGGCCGGAGAAAACAGTCAGGGAGCGAAGGAGACAGTCGAGAGTTGTAGTGCGACAACGAGATTGTTGTCATGGGCACCTAGCAAGAGGATAGAACGAAGAAGGAGATAGCAATATACCACCCGGGGTTTGCTAGCAGAATAAACAACCCACAGAGACCCAAGGGAGGTTGCTGACCTTTAAAAAACTCGAGGCAGTTATCACAGTGAGGAGCAGATTCATCATCGCGGCGCAGCAAAGTGGAGGGGTCACCTGAAGAAAAAGTAAAAAGCTTGGTTGAAACTTTTAAGAAGGCTATACTTCGCGACTATACAAAAGAATGGAATAGACAAGGTCAAATTGTTTGCTTCTAGGGGAGGCGCCGAAGGTGGCTGAGTTTTACAACAAAAGCATCACATATATCCTGAAGAATTCGGATTCTAAAAAAGCCGACAAAAGCAAGGAAGTTCGTATCCTCGTAAAAAAAAAGGGTCTTAAGCAGAATTATTCCAGCCATCGTAGATCCTTTCCTGCCAGCCTGTCCCTTTTGTTCCTCAATACAAAAGCAACTACTACCTTTCATGACATTTGAATTATGCTTACGCTGTAACCAGTTGGTTACTTTTCACCTCTTCCTAACGTTTCTTCCTCAAGCTACTTTATTTCGGGGTAGTTCTTCTTACATAAAACAATTGTTGTTGGGCTCCGGCTAGCAATTAGTCGATGGTCCTTTTCTGGCCTCGAAGAAATTAAGAAATGATAAATCAATAATCTTTATTAAAACCTATTACGTTCTTATTTTTCTTAGAAATTCGCCTTTAATCTGTAAGTAACACATGTTAAACGAAATGGGGATTGGGCACATTACTGTAAGAGCAGGGTTAACTCATTCATTCACAAAACTGCACTGCATAAAAAGGAAAATGTATCTTTATTATGTTAACTGAAATGAAAATATTTACTCTCTAGAACCGCCGAGTACAGAAAGAAACTTACTTTCTCGTTTCAGGAATTAATAATATACCTAACTAAATCGAAAATCAAAACGAACTTCTGTAAGTGCGCGTCGTTACGCTTTTCAGGTTCGAGTCGAGACGAATCGAAATGGTGCTCACAAAGCACTTATTTGAACTCAAAACTCCAGTAGGGACTTAAGTCGCCTTTACAATGCTACAACACGCAGTATAACTACAACGGGGTGAACTACGGAAAAGGGTAAACTACGACGCGATAAAGTCTTATGTGTAATTATCTTAGCCTCCTACTATCTTAGCGGGCTAACGCCAACTTCAGTCACACTGGAATATTTGACCATATTTTGTCGTAGCGGGAATGCCAAACTAACATGGCTGCCTATTTGAATATTCTCGCTTAAGTTTCCCGCGAGAATCGGTCACTCGGGGGCCATTCAGAGTGCACTAAGATTGTGATTGTCATGTAGGACACCTACATTGTGTTGTAACTGAGTTCTAAGCAGGCACTGAGGGCGTTTTCTGAGTAAGGAACACCAAATAAGCAATAGCTGATTATGTTTATATTGAAACTAATTCCAATACGGTTACACAGTGGCCCACATAATGGTTTTTAGCGGCGCCCCTGCAGAGGGTCTTAAGTGGTTCTATACTACTCGAGGATTTACCTTACTAATTAGGAAAACTGCAGGAAAACCTAATTCGGAGTAGTCCTATAATGAACCACATCCAATGTACAGCAGTTTTGATCCCTCTCGAAACCGGAGTAACTACTACAAACACGCTATGAGTAACCAAAATGGGATCGAGCCATTCCCCAAGTATTACAACACATACATCGAACAAAACTAAGAGATGTCAAATATACCTCGCCGGGTGGGAGGATTACCCAGGACCAGTGGGGACCCTGTAGTCCTGGGCTAAAGTTCTTGGGTTCGGAACGAGTGAAAGTGTTAGGTTCACCAAGCCCCGTAGAAACTTGAATAACTCGATCCCCTCTAAACAAGCACACTTCCCTCTTGATTACTCACAGCCCCAAATAAGCAAATACATATAATGAAATGCAATGAAATAATCGAGAGTGACTAAAAAGCACAATACACAAATATGTACACATGCAAGTATGTACAGCACAGATACAGCCCTACCGACAATGAAACATGATTGCCAATACCAACAAAGGTTACACATTAAAGGTACAAGTGACTGAATTCAGTAAGTACATAAGTAAAGAGTTACAATCTACATTCAAGTTACACACATTTATAGATTAATTGAATAAAGCAAATACCTCACCTGATATAACAAAGCAAAAGCATACAGCAATGATTAAGGTATAAAAATATTTCAAGACAAGCCGTACTGTACACTTCAGCCGGTTACAAGAAAAAGACCATGAACATGAACACACATGTTAAATCCTATTTATTTGACCAACCCAAGCCACGGGGTAATTTGATCTGCTAATACCCCTAAAAACCACCCGAAAATCGCCCATTCCCTGCATTTCACGCATTTCTAAGAAAAAAATGGACTGCAGGTGTTTGAAATGGTAAACATTATGTGGTCTTCCAAGAAATTCCATCCGTCTCATCTTCGCTCTCTTTCCCTTTTCTATAATCCCACCAGATTTCGGTTGGCAGCTTGTGTAACTAACATGATGTATAGGGTGCTTCGTATCGACAATCATATTCTCAGGACGTTGCTAAGGTTGGGGTATCTCATATGATAGTTTATAAATACCTTTGATCTACTGTTTATATGCACCAGGAGTCGGAACGCAATTTTGGTCTCTTCGATTGATGTTGACGTTGAAGTACGTTTAGGACCGCCCACTGCAGGCTACTATTCGTATTTGGTTCGGCCAATCACAGGCAGGCTTCAGTGCGACTTCTTGGTATGTACCCTCAAAGCACACGGACCGCGCTCAGAATAGAAAGTGGGAATCTTCTTCGGTTATTGCGCAATCTTCCTAATTTTCTTCGGAATGCCGTGAAGATCGTCTTCGGCTTAGATACGGTGGCTCGATGGAGATGGTTTCGCTCGGTTCTTTACGTTTATTTTCTTAAGATTCCGCTTCAATTCGCTATTTACAAGAATGGTGCCACAAATTTTGTGGATGTCGACAAATTGATGGTTAGTGTCTAAAACTAGCCTGCTATCTACAATACATTCAAAGAAATACAACATGGTGGACAAATGAATTGCAAATGGACTGATAATGCAGCCATGACGCCCAGTGACCTAAATCTCCATACACAGAAACAGTCATCAGTATCAGTCAGACAGACAGAAACTACTAAAGGCATCATCGACTATATCCGGCCTTAAAGAGACTCATTTTTGTCCATTTTTATGTTCATTTTCATCATCCGCCCGCTGGAAAACCGCTTTGATATCAATTAATTGGATTTATAAATCAATTTATTTACAAAAATAAATAAAATATATAAATAAATAAATATATAATATGCGTAGACTCACTTCTTGGTCTCGGGAGAGACGTGTCTGTAACAGAATTAAAAATCAAGCACTATGCCAGAAATGGCGGTCGCACCAACTGAACTATTATTACCTTTTCAATACTGGTAGCTGTGACGTTCTAACTGTGATGGGTACAGATGCTGTAGTTTTGGAAGTGTTGTCAGTAGTTGCCCTGTTCAGTTTTGTTTGACTAATCGGTATTCGACTAACTGTCTTAGATGGTAAATTTAAGCTACGTCGATTGTTTGCTTTCTCTTGTTTTTTGAAACATGTCTCGGATATAATACTGGAGTGTCGTTTATTAACCCTGTTCTCCTTATTCGGAAGCTTTCTCATGTTAACTTTATCGTCGTCGGTAACGTTGTTAGTCCAGGTCTCCTGTTTAATTTGGTAAACTTTTGGTCGAGGCTGTTCACTGTCAGTTTTGGTACTTAAACTAATTCCTGCGTCAATATAGAAGTGTTGCTCTAATATGGTCATGTCACTACAAAACGAATCGCTCAATGAGCTGTACAGATTTGTCGGTTACACACCTTGGCGATCCCTGCACGGACGTTTTCGACGAGACGCCGGTCGCCGCCTTTCGCGAACGGTCGCCGTGTAGATTCGCCGAAGATGGCGAGAGAGTCCGAATATCGGCGACAATGACCATCGGCTTAGAGCCCGAATTGATCTTGTCCTCCTCCTCCCGCCTCCGTTTCTGCTCCTTCTTGTACTCGTCCTTCGCGTCCGTACTCACGTTTTTCATCTCCTTCATTTTCGATTGAAACACCTGAATCACGTCGCGGTCTTCCTCGTCGTTGGCGTACTTCCTCATCGCGTCGTTCAATCTTTCGTTTAACAGTTTATCTTCGGGTAGTACCAGCATTTGCTTTAAGAACGCGAATAGATTGGCGACGCAGAGACGGATGTTAGGAACCGGGTCACCTGAAGCAAAGAGTAACTATCTTTGCCTGAAGCAACCTTTGGATTGAATCATTCATCACAGATTTAAGTATGCTACATTATCTACTGTATGTATGTACATTTTTGTTACATGGGACAAATATGTACGTCTGATGTACGTACATTTGTGTACGATCACAAACTATAACTTATAACGTACAAATAAGTACGTTCGACCACCGAATGATAAACGCAAGCTTACTGCCAATTAGGCAACTAACCATACGCTCTCTAAAATGGCAACGTTGAAGTGTACGTTTTCCGGCGGGGATTCATGTGGGATGGGCGTCCAATTTTATTTTATTTTATATCTCTGGCCAATTTATAGCAAGGGATAAGCTATCTGTAGTATACTTACACCAGCCGAAATTTACCTAAACATTTCACTTACCAGCCAAGTCGAGAAGGTGATCGAAAAAGTAATCCTTAAAGTACTTGTCGCTGAAAATTTCGATCGCACTTTTGCACAACCTTATATAAATTAGTCTCGTGTAGTACGAATCGGAACGGCACAGCTGCTGGACGAGGTTATCTCGCAGCCACCTTCTTTGCATTTCTTTTCCGTTGTAACGCAAAAATATCAGCAAGGTGCGTACCGCCTGCGCTCTGACCGGTCGCGCCCTCTAGAACGAGATGTATTACAGGAGGGTGGACGTAAAGCGGTGAAACGGCCTACTTTAAAAAAGCATTCGTTCAGGTTAATGCGTGAGAATTTGAACGTGATGACGGTAGCGTGCGAGTAGTGTAACTAAATTTCCAGGGTGTGTGTAAAATGTGCTATTGTTTGTATTTTTTCCAATAGCGTCTTTCATGAAAGTGGCATAGATGATTTTTAAATGCGAGCTTTCGCAGGGCCCTAGGACTATACATATCAAATACTGCGACGAGCATGGGGAAGAGAGACATGATCACGCCTTCAGATGGTCGGTGATTAATGAAAAAGCAAAATGCAGTGTAGGTGCAGCAAATAAATTAACAAACATACTCCTTGTACTGCGCAATTCAAAACAAACGGTGTAAAGTGCTGGTGAATGAAATCGGGCGGCATGCAATTTGGCAGATACTCTAACTGGTGTAGAAGGTGCATTAATAGACGCCAATTGTTCCCACTTGTTAATTCGAACTGGCACTTGAGCATAGCGCGTCCGATATCCACGGTGTCGGGACTGGCGGTCTGTCGCGATAGTGTACCGTACTGGGCGAACAGCTCTAACGTTACGCCCAATTGCTGTACTAGCGACGAAAGCACTTCTTCGGAGTCGTCTTGTAATAATCGTACGAAATCTTTCTTCAGGATTTTGCTATTTACACCTGCAATAAATTAGAAGGGATTATTCCTAGTTCCAAATTCAACCTCTTACCAAAAATATTAATAACAGCACTCAAGCATCCAGCAACAGTTCTCCTCACGATATAGCACGGATCAGCAGCTAACCCCGTAAAAATAGTGTACAGCGTGTCGGTCTGTGTAGGTAATACTGCGAAGGTAAACGAAGAGACCATTGGCAAATTAACGGCCGCATGTTGTCGACAGGTCACCTCCTACAAAACACGGAAAATAAAGCACCGAAACAGACCTAGTCCCTACCATATTCGGATCGGCACCCGTCAACTCGCCGCCTTCCGAAACCAAACCTTTCGTGGCGAGCTTCTTGTAGAAGTTCAAAAACCACAAGGCTTCCGTCGCGGTAAACGCGTGCTGTAAACCCTCAAATATTCGCCCAATTTCCTTCGATAGCGTCGCCGGCGTCAGTTCGTCCTGTTTAAGCGATCTCTCGCAGAGCTGCTTTAGTAAAGGTAAAAGTGTCGCCTTTTTCACATCTGAAAGCGACTAATCAACGGCTATCGGCACTCGCCTCGCCGCTTACCCAAACTACTGTACGGAAATATCTGCACAATCGACGACACGGAGGCGGCGCGCACGTACATATTTTCGTCGGAGCCCAACTCGACGAGACTCGCGAGCAGCGTACCCTTCACCAGGCTGGTCCCCAGACCCTGCGCGACGTGCGCCAATTGCGAGCACATAACGGTACGGACCTCCGGATGACAATCTTGGCATAGACTTTGGGCTAAAGGTAGTACGTCCCGTTTTACGCTGAATAAAAATCGGTTAGATATTTAATTTTTAATTGAGATATTTCAAAGTTAACAATTAACTAAATCAGAGATGGCACTTGAATGTGGAGAAAATGAATGACTTTCTATTACTGAGTAAATTTATTCACACAAATGGCAAATTATCTTCAAGATGGCGATGCCTAAATTCTCATTGGTTAGTATTTTTTTCCTACCAATCCTGAACTGGTGTTAATAAATCCCAGCAAATTCCACGTTGCCTTTATTTCATGATGAGTTTATTCTCATTGATTAGTATTTTTTTCCTACCAATCCTGAACTGGTGTTAATAAATCCCAGCAAATTCCACGTTGCCTTTATTTCATGATGAGTTTACTAATGTAATACTATACCCCTATTAAAGCGGATGTAAGCTGAGCCCTGACTCTGAGGCGCTTCAAGTCATTAAAGAACAAAAGTCCATTGAAAGTTGGAGATGTAGAAATTACCCTTGAGCTACATTCGGCCAGATAAATTCATCACGATCATTTGTTTAGAAAAACCCTGCAAAACCTTATTGATTTACAGCTTTAAAAACTCCAATTGAAAAATTGGGGCCACGCCAAACAAAACAACCTGTAAAATGATCATGTACATGATACGGCGAACATTCAGAACTTTCTCCATAGAATAAACAGTTAATCAAACATACAGGGCAACATCACACTAATAATAAACTTCCGCGTGAGTACAAATAAATACTGTTCCATAAATTTAATTAAGTACTTTATTTATTTACAATTAATTATCAATAAATTTATAACAGTCTTAGAATTCATTAATTTATAACATTACTCACAATTTATAACATGGCACCAATACTTCACTTCGGCAACGCTGTAAGAACTCGCTGAAGCACAATTCGATTTACTTATATAGCAAACTCGAAAGTTCTCAAATGCTTCCGAATATTCTAGAATGTTCTCGAACAAACACGTCATATTTCCCGGAAGGAATGCGTCACATCCACTTTCGTTTCTTATTGCCAATGACATGGCGCCTCAATGTCTATTGGGATTTCTAGAATATTCGCTACCATACTTAATAAAACAATATGAAAGCATACCTGTACAGTATACCAAACAAACATAATGTACATACAAAACAAAGCTTGGAGCACGCCACAAATGCATTGTAGTGTACTATTATAAACCCCCAGGTTCTAAGCTAACTTCATACTACAGTAATACGGAAACATGATCAACGCGGTAACATTTAAAAATGGCCACCAACGTAATTTCAAACAAGACTTTAACCATTAAAAATGACAAAATGTTGACCCCCAACAGGATAAAACCCGCAACTTCTAAGAACTTTGTAAGTAAGTTCACAATTGGTCCTGAAATACTGAGTACTGAGCCTCTCAGAACGCTGTACCTAAACAATTGCAACTTTGAAACCCTAAGGGCCGCTTGCACCGTAATTTCAACCTGATCCTGGTGTTAAGTATGTGATTGGATGACACTAGCCAATCGAAGTATAGACACACCTACCATGGAGCCAATCAAATGCCGTAATACTCGGGATCAAAATTTGGACATAAATTTTCACTTACTCTGTGGAGTCCAAATCTTTGTGAACGGCAATCTTTCCGAGAAGCTTACAACTGGCGATCCGTGACAGCACCGGCTGCGAGAGTAAAGACTTGTGATTCACCAATCGGATGATCTAAAAATCCAGCATCTAGAAGACAGTCAAACTGGTACAGAAACGGGGTATACTTCTTGTTTGATTTGCGTCTCGCTCAAAACCGGTATAATCGCAATCAGGGTGTCCATCCAGGCGCTTGCGGCGATCGAGTCGCGCACGTCGATGCCCTGCAGTACCGTATGGAACAGATTCGGCGGCGCCTGCTTCTCCATCAGAATCTTAAACGCCTTGCTGACGAGAACGTGAAACTCGCACGAAGCGTTCGGTAGCTCCTGCAGTATCTTCGGAATTATTCGCGAGTACGTCTGGTTCGGATCGGTTTGCAGAAGTTGGGGGAGATTTTGGATAACGCTGAGTTTTTGGATGTCATCGCCTACTCTGTAAAAATAGGCGAAATGTGTAATGGGGAAAAAACAAAACATAACCTACAAGTCTAGGCTGTCGAGGTTCAAATCGAAGATGTACCGAGACTCTTTGTCCATTTTCTTCGCCTTTTATGTGATTAACGGCTTGAAGATTGTAAATGAATTCATTTTGTTTATAAAATAAAATGTAAACAAATTATGTTATCATTGCAACAGTAGCGACACCAATGGCCAGTGGCTAAACCATCAACAGTTCAAGTACCAGTGGCGTATCCTATGAGTATTGAAGTTGCGCTGTCCAAAAATGGTTCCGTAACCACAAGATTTTACCCCTTAATTTAATGGGTCTGTCTCATTACGACGGACTCATATTTTAGCAGCACTCATACCTATTATTACCCAACGACTGCTTGAATACCATGGGCCCCTACGTTAATTATAGCCTATAGCACCTTGTGGGTAACTGATATCGTGTTCACTAACCCCATACCATAAAGAAACCCAATCAGATCAGCGCAATGTACTATCCTCTTATCTATCCTTCTACCTCTTTCCGATTACAATAGAAGAAAGCAGCGACGGATATGCGTCTTCACCTCCATGTTCTTCTCCATTCTCTTCCCCATTCCGTTTCTCGTTCGTTCCTTCCATTTATCTGCCCTATTCCTTGCCTTTTCCCTCCTCCTTGCCCCGATGATGATTTCATTGTAGGTTTTCCACAAATGAAATCACATAAGGCAAAACGTAGCTACTTTAATTTGCAAGCGCAAATATATGAAAGATTACTGTGGTTTCTAACCGAATTGTATGCAAAAAATGGGTACTACATCAACCGCATATTGAGGGAGGGAAAAAGAAAATCACATGTACTTACGTTAGCAAATGCACTGCCCTTTCCACAGGCCTGTTTTCGTATTGGGGATCAACACTATGTTTTTTAATCTGTTCCGATGTCTAAAAGCTTTCGCGATAATTTGCGCAATTAGGAAATGTTCTGGTGGATACCTTGCCACGGCCGGGTCGGTCTAATTGGATATTTCGTAAATCTTCGTCCATTTCTGCATACTAGGGTGGTGATATCGTCAGTACACTGTCACAATATTGACGTGTCGAGACATCTGCCAATTGTTGTAATTTCATTTATCACCCCGCGGAGGTGTTGATTAACGGCAGAGCTGATAAGTGGTGCAAGGGGAGGAGGTCAGGGGTATGACAGGGACTTTGATCCCGAACCGGTAGCGTAGATCGCAACAGGTGCCTCCTCACACAACTGCTGACGGGCTGTCGTGAGAACGGTGTATATTTTATCAAAATGGGAATAAGGGCCTAAGAAGGTGCAACCGCTGCGAGGGAAGAAATCACCAGGGACACGCTAGAAGTTGAAGTTGCGCAACTGATGAGTCCGCACAATTTAATCGAGACGATCCTGAAGAATGAGACACACTGGGACATGATTAGGTATTGAAGGAAGGTGTGTGGAACCCAGAAAAGTGAAACATGGAACTCTACGACGGGCAGCTGCAATTAACAACTGCGGCTGCTGAGCTGGAAGCAGCTTTTGTTATTGTATATGAGGCAGAGGGGAAGAACGGAAACAAAGAGTTAAGGGGATTAAAGATATGTATAGGGAACCGTGAAGAAGGGGTCGAGGGAGGTGCAAAGCGGGAGACGTAACGGACACGTCAAAAAACCTTTAAGGAGACGTGAAGAGTTGTGAGGGACAGCTGCAACAAGCGTCGAGACAAGGAAAAGTGAACGCCTTAAGGGAAAGTGAAGTGGGCATGAAAAAGGAGGAGCTTGAAGAAACTGTTAACTGACGGATCCAAAAAGCGATAGTAGGCCACTATCCGTAGGCATGTGGCAGGACGAATGGAATGACAGAAATCTTGGACTCGAAAACTGGTGACACCTCAAAAAATGGACCAATAGAAAACAAGGCGCAATTGCCAATTTTTGTCACACAGACTCTTCGCACACAGATAAGAAACTATCGACCTTCCCTGTATATACTTAAAAATTGATCTATGGTTGTTGAATTCCTTCCCTCCCATTTGAAGTTTTAAAATTTAAGGTTATGTGTATATTCCCAACTTGATTCCCAATTACAATGTACGACGATAATCACAGATATTTTCTGCAATACATTCTGCACAATAGCTACATTCCCATCGAAACAGCTCTCAACTTTTGCACTAGCAATTCAATTGGTAAACGTTCGCATTTAAAGGACATTTCTATTTATCGCTTTCAGAAGCCGTAAAAGATGGCAAGGAACTGAAGCAGTTCGTGGCGGAAATCAACGATAAGATTTCGAAGCAGGACCTGAAGATCAACTTTTTAAAATGCGAAGTGACCGGTGATGATAAATTGGTTTTGCTGAACACAGTGAACGACGACGTGTCCAAGCTTCAAAACTCCTTCAGACCGGCGGAACTGGAATACTTCCAACTGGTCTTGCAGGAGCTGGTCACGGCCGACGATCACCAAATCAACAAAATGCAGTGCTATAATCTCAACATGACCGCAAACAGAATTAACGCCGACACAATCGAAAAGTTGCTGGAAAAGTGGACCTCGCAGGGGTATTTAGTCGAGAACGGTTCGTCTATGTGTCTCGGTGCTAGATGTGTCGCGGAGTTCGATCCGTACTTTAAAGTTCACTGCAAGGATTACTACAGCGATTGTTTGTTATGCTCGGAAACCGTCTTTGTTGGGTCGACTTGTGACGCCTGCCAGAGCATAATGCACAGGCATTGCATCGATAGATACTTGACCAAACACGACCAGTGTCCTTCTTGCAAGCGCACTTGGAATGCTCAACGGATGCAAGCGGTAAATGGGACTGAAGAATCATCGTCGGATGAAAGTGAAATTCCTACGCCTCGTGTATCTAGAACAAAGCGTAAGCGAGTTTTGTGACTCCTTACATCCACGTTTTTAATATTAAATTAATAAATGATTAACACACTTTGGTCTATGGTTTCGGGGGGCACCTCTTTAAATTTTAATGATATACCACAGAGGCTACTAAGTACAGGGTGTTTGCTTTACAACTTTATTACAGAAACATTGGAAATCTCTTCACAATTTCCTTATAATTATTGATAAAGCCCTCGTGTCCTTAACTATGTGTAAAATCCCTATGGTTAGGCAACACACCTTACAACTGAAAGAATGGCTCTGTGTATACAACCGTTCTACGCAGATGCGGAGAACACTTACCCCGAAAACACGGTAAACACCCGCGTCGTTATCTCTTAGCAGCAATAAAACACGTGCGTTAATTAATTTTCACATGATAAAACTCCTTATCGCAAACGACCAGAAGTGTCTTACTTGTAACACCTTACCTAAATTGCATAAATGATAAACGCGATAGAATTAAGACGAAAACTACACAATTTCTAAAAGGAAAAATATGAGCTACCGTTAAAATCTCCATTTCGTAATTAATTATTCTCGAGACGCGTTGCACCTCTGACGTCACGATTCATCACTGATCACGATACAGGTTTCAGATTAGTTTGTTTACATTTTATGCAAGATAAACTGAATTACGTTGCGTTCTCTGAACAATTGTTTATATCGGTGCGTGTAAGACTTTGGCGTTAAATTGTAATCCAATTTGTGAATTGATTTTTTCCAGTTAGGAAGATTACATGGAATGGTTATATTGTTTAAAGTGTAACCTATAACGTTTGCATCATAAATAAAGCAGACGGTGTATTGTCTGCATTTAAAAATATAATTCAGGTAACTTATCAATTTCAACCTTGGTGGGATATTTCGGTTCCGGTTGTTTTTCGAAGAAAGTTAATCAGACAAGCATTTATTGTGTACAATATATTATATTTGATTGATAATACTTTTTCACATACATATAAGTAAATAAATAACGATTGGATTAAGGCACATTACGTACTAAGATCAAAACGCGTTTCTATGTTTTCCAATTCCGAGCATATTCGATGCGGGGTGCAAAGGGATAAATGGGAGAGTACGTAATGTACAGTAAACATAAAAAGCAAGTCCTAATTTAATGGACGCGCTGGTGCTGTTTCCTGATTGCAGTACACAGATGGAAGCATAATTTTGAGGGCCTCCTCATACGAAGGCGGAAGATCGGTCTTTCCCTCGTCGACCGAATTCGCGTAAGATGGCGGAATATCAGAGCGACCGTCGGCATTATCGTCATAATCCGTAAACCCGTCGATCATCTCCTCGGAAAAGCTGAGCACGGTGACGTCGCCGATGGCGTCGGTATGCACTATCGGGGCCGGTATGCGATTTGTTGCGTTCAAATTCGGCAAAATGCAGCCGGCCAACGGATTCGTGTCTCGGTGACGAACGCACATCGCGTGCGTACACGGCGGACCGTTCGAGGAGACCCTTTCCAAGCGCGCTCGCACGTTCGGGTTGTTCCGAACGCACATGCACATTATCCCGCCGAACAAGAACAGGCCTCCGATGATTGCTGGGAAATATACTTTACCTTGCCGCACCATAGCGTCGGCACACACTTACCTATACAATACAGAAAACCGTATTCGTTGGTACCGGAAACGGCTAGAATACGTTCAAGCATTAGATACTAATTTATTTAAACGAATCAAGCATGTAAATACGGTGCAATGGCCTTGTCAGAGATCAATAATAGTTATTTATGCATCAAGGGCATTAAGACGATAGTTATACCGAAAGGGACAAACCCGGGGATCGAGTAATGCCCGAGTTGCATACAAAATTTTATTTTTCATCTTTCCAAATAATGCATTTCCAATATACAAATGTAATGATTATCGTTTGCCAAACATTAAAATGCTTCATATAAATCAAGTAGCATCCTTTTTTATTACATAATACAGGGTGTTACATGACCGCATGCAAAAAAATTTGGTGATAGGGGGGATCAAGACAAGCACTTTTTCCAAATAAACCGATGGTCCAACGTGTTTCGAAGAAGTGGTGAAATTTGGATTTCGTCTTTAATTTTTTTCTCAGCAACCATAAGAGTTACAAAGATGGGTTTTCGGGTATCACTCACTAATAGGCGGGGGACACTTTGTAACCCGAAAACCCAATTTTCACATCAGTATAACTTTTGTTTGAAATGTGATTTTTTGTCGATAAATTTTGTTCCTTAACTCATCAAGTATGTACAGGGTGGCCAAATAAGAATGCGAGGTGCTGTATCTGGGAACCTGTCCATCGTAGCGGCTTGCGGTAAAAAAATTTATTACTAAAACGGCCACGATAATAACCTGGAAAATATTTTTAAGTTTCTGCAATGGCCGCTAGGGGGCGTAACTGCAATCTGGAATCTAAAAAAATGATTTTTCTGTGAATTCCGCTATATTAACCTAACAAAAAAATGTCCGGTCTTTGAAGTTGACGATAATCTGAACCAGAGGTGCCCAAACCTTTGTATCGTTTGATCTACTCTGCACAAGTAAGATCCTTCGCGATCTACCAGCTACTTCTACTATGAAAAAAGGTTTTTGTTGTTAGGATGATGTGTAATTGAGTTTTCATTTTACTTTAGTCCGTCGTATTTCTGATGTTGGTGGGCACTTATTTCTGATTGTGATGGAAAGTTGCATATTTTTTATATACACTCAAAAAATGTCTCTTCAGATTACCTACCTTTTTACCACCCGCACATTAGTAAAGGGATATAGTGCATTGGGGTTAAAAATGCCTCCTTCCCCACCGTTTTGATGGAAATACTCGCTTTGAAGCACCAGAAATGCGAATCAAACAAAATCTGGAAGAGGAAGAAGAAGAAGAAGCACACCAATGTATCCTTAAACATTGTAAAAAATTTGCTATACCACCCGCACACCTGCGTATTCGCGGTTCTGCCCTTTTATATCTAAGAATAAGTGTACCAAATTTGGTCCCAATCGATTCAGCCGTTTAGCCGGAAATGAGAGTACAGACGGACCGACACAGATATACCAACATTATCGAGATTTTGTTTGATTCGGATTCCTGGTGCCCCAAAACGTGTGTTTCCGTCAAAAAAGTGGGGGGTCACTTTTTACCCCAATGCAATAGGTACTTATTAATGTGTGGGTGGTAAAAAAAGTTTTCTTCCTACTCTTTATCAAAATGGTAGGGTTTTGGTCGCTTGGGCTGATGAGATGATCGACTCGGAAGATCGCCGCGATCTGATCGCGATCGACGGTTTGGCCAGCTCTGATTTGAACCTTTTTTGTTTTTCCTGTATCTCTAAAAATGAGGTGGTGGGGGGGGATTCAAAAGTTTCCGTAAAGAACACCCTGTATCTTCGAAACGACTGAGCCGATTTTAACAAACTCGGGTTAATTGAAAAGAGTTATTCTTCGGCTACAAATATAATATTTGAAGTTTTGTTAGTTTCACATATCGCCGCTTAAGGGCTTTTTTCGACATTCCGACAGAAATGGTTAATTTTCTCAAAAAAAATAAATGCGTTGGTTTGATTTTTTTTTCATGAAAAAGTAGGTAAATGATGCCTAAACAAGCTCGCAAAAACCCCATGTCGATATCAAGTTCCTAACCTAAAATTTAGGCCAAAGAAACTTTTATACCCTCAAAATTTTATTTTTTTAAGCGAATTTTTCCGGAATTATTTTTATTATATATTTTGTGGCCCTAAGGTGGATCGATTTAAAAAAGGAAACTTTTAATGCCGCCGTATAAATGCCCGAAATGCTGGCCATCACGATATAAATATATATATCTCAAGATATCGAGATGCTGTTTTCGCGAGTTTGTTTAGGCATCATTTAGCTACTTTTTCATGAGAAAAAAATCGAACCACTGCATTTAATTTTTTTGAGAAAATTACCATTTCTCGGAAATGTCGAAAAAAAAGCGGCGGCGATATGTGAACAAATTCAAAAATAATATTTGTAGTGAAAAAGAGCTCTTTGAACTAACCCGAAAAATCGGCGCCGTTTCGAGATAGTTCTTACCCCCCCCCCCTTCATTTCTAGAGATACAGGAAAAATTGCCAAACAAAAATTGTTCAGATTATCGTCGACTTCAAAGACCGGACATTTTTTTGTTAGGTTAATATAGCGGAATTCACAGAAACATCAGTTTTTTAGATTCCAAATTGCAGTTACCTACGCCCCCTAGCGGTCATTTCAGAAACTTAAAAATATTTTTCAGGTTTATCTCGTGGCCGTTTTAGTAATAAATTTTTTTACCGCAAGCCTCTGCGGTGGGTATATTCTCAGATACAATACCTCGCTTTCTTAGTTGGCCACCCTGTACACAACAAATTTCGTGGAACTCTCTCCATGTTCGTTGTCCGGCCAAGAATTGCAGTAGAACTTTTTTTTTCGAATTTCCAAACACTAATTCCAGATACGTAATTTTCATGTTCAAAAACCCCCAGATACCAAATTTCGTCAAAATCAGAATTTTTTTCGCACCCCCAAATAGGGGCATCTCGGCTTCATTTTTTATTTCTGATCTACAAAACACAATAAAAATAAAAAGACCTGTGTGTCCTCAATTTTTATTTGCGAGTAAAATAAACCCACAATAAATTATTGAAAAGGTGTGTTTTAGTCCGAATTTGAAATGCTTCAGTCTAAAACGTCACAAACCTACAACCAATCACGTAGAAGTGAGCCGGCAACCTTGCGCGAGGGTCTGACGTTTGTCGGATTTGACGTTTTTAGAGGCATGTATCTAACGCGAAAGGGAACGACAAGTGCCTGCGACAGATGACGCAGGTCAAGGTTATTTTCTAATAAAACAACCTTGGACGCAAGTTACATAAATGACTTTCTCCTGCAATATTGCCAAGTCGTATGTCATCTGAATGGTTCTAGCAGCTGATTGGTCGGGCTTATTACGTCACAAAGCCCGCCACAATCATCTCGTTTTGAATAAACCCCTAATACCGTACATGGTCACTCTTTTTTTTCTAATCAGCCACTAAATAAACATTTACTGTCCAAAAAATTGTTTTTTGTTTTAAGTTTTCCGCTTATTAAATTAGAACTACGGAATTCAACTACACTGTAAACCCTATATATAAAATCCACATTTCACCACTTGTTTGGGGGTGGCTCACAAACGAAACTCGTTGGACCATCGGTTTATTTGGAAAAAGTGCTTGCCTTGATCCACTCTATCACTCAATTTTTTTTTACATGCGGTCTGTAACACCCTGTATAACTCCATCAATATATTTGATAGGTCCTGTGAGGGCATAATCATCTCATTATGCCCACGGGCGTAATAGACTGCTTTATATATCTCATATGACAGATATAACAGGAAAATGAAAAATAAATAATTTTATTATTTATCTCCAGACTGGCTTTTAGTGTTATCATACATAATACAGTAAATAATTTTAAATAAAAACAACATTGAATTCGGATTTAATGAAAACGAGCGAAATTTGCGCTTAATCCAAATTAATAACCACATTTACACCTAAAAAAATTAGATTCAATTATACAAGATCACGCGTCGTTACTAAGAGGTGCCAGTACCATTCAAAAACGTCCATAGGACGTCGTCCACATAACAATTGTTGGTGGTATGAGTATCTGGAGTATTCAGGTTTGGAAAAAGGTTATTGCAGGTCTGCCTTTTAATGAGCTAGAAAGAAACCCAATCAATATGCATTATGAGTGTGAAGTGAGAATTACACATCAAACTAAAAGCGCTGATGCCATTCTTCCTCTGTTGAGAAGGCTAGTATCAATTGCTAGTCAATGTCAACAGTTATGTCTCACTCTCACTCATATAATGCTTATTGGGTTTCGTTTCTAGCTTATTATGTCAGACCCACAATCATTTTTTTCCATACCATGATCAGGTTGCAATCAGGACCAACCCAACTACATACAGGGCAAACAACAAATACAGGTCTGACCTTAAATGCGGTGTCTATCGTGCGATTTTATCAGGAAACGGGCGGTACTTACAACCGGAAGAATCTAAAACAAGACATGAACACGCACAGGCCGTTCGCTTCGTTACACATACCGACAGTTTTATAATCGGTTCGTTTCAGCAACTCCTCATACTCCAACTCGAGATGCGGAGCATTATTAGAAGCTATATTGGATGTGAACATATTCGAGCCAGGTTGACCGTAACCGGGCCAAATTTCGGAACGGTCGTCCGTTCGGTCATTCCAAAGTGATGGCTCCGTGTACTTAAATTTCCTTCCATTTTTAAGGAAATCGTCGAGCTTGTCGGAAAAGTTTAATTTTATTTTACGGTCGTCCGTTTGGTCATTCCAAAGTGATGGCGCCGTGTACTTAAATTTCCTTCCATTTTTAAAGAAATCGCCGAGCATGTCGGAAAAGTTTAATTTTATTTTATTAAAATCTACAAGACGCACTTTAAGCAGAACTTTACATTCGGTTACGCCGTTTTACCGTAGCCGTCCTCATCTACAAACAGGAATGAGCGAACCGAGTGGAAGATACGCACGAGAAATTACCGATTCTGTACTGTGTTCGTTTTAGCCTTCTTTTCGTCGAGGAGCTATCATCGAGGGTGATTGTGACCGCCTTCGACACGTTGTACTTAAGACTCTTGCAAATGTATACGTCAGCATCTTCGGGTCGAAACGGTATAAAGTTGATTCGTGAGGCGTCATCGTTGCGAATGTACCTGTCAGACCTGCGGGAGAACTTAAATAAAACGGGAACGATGGAAACTTACTCGAAACTGCCGGAGTTTCGCCTCCACTCCACGTCATTATTCGCGTTGTTTATGTCTTTGCATTTTAGAGTTACGTTTCGTCCGCTTGAAATCTTAATAGTCGCCGCTATCGGATAATTTCTCCCGTTAATGCTTTTGTAAATCAGTAAGGAGGATTCTCCTGAAAGCAGTGCTCGTTTTTAAAAGCGCCATGATGTAAAGGAGGAGAGTGAAGAAGGTACCGGTTAGAAATGTAATTGAAAGTAATAGTAACGAAGTAATACTGGTAGGCATTATCACTATCTTTTTCAAGTAATCATTATTCGAGAGTTAAGACCAAAAATCGTTAAATTTTAATTCAATTAAAAAGCGGTTGGATATATATAAACAAATTTGTCCTTGAAAAATGTTTAATAAAATAATAACTGTGGTGTAATCAGCGTTGCCAAATTTATAGTGCCGCCGTGGCTAGCGTCACGCTAATACAGTTGTTGAAAGACATCGTTGTACAAAGTCATTCGAAATTCAGTAAAGTATGACTGAAAAAGACAGAAAGCACTTAAGCTTGAGGAAGCGCCTACAAAAAGGGGGAGTTACATTATTTTTAATTTGTATAATCTTTTTTGAGAATATACCTACCTAACTTATTAGTAGGTAGGTAACAGATTTAGAAATTAACTACAAAATATAAACTTGAAAAAACAAAAGGTTTGTCTTGTCAAATCCAGAGGTCTCGGATTATTTATAAAGCGTGGTTTAGACGCTACGATAAATTGTAACAATTTATCGTAACGATCGTATCGTTACGATTTATCGTTGCGTGTGAACAGAGGATTGTAGCGATTTATTGGAATTGGATTGGATGGTTGATGGCGGCCGGCTTCAATTTCTGCGAATCGTAGCGATAAATTGGAACGTGTAAACAATAACAGACATTTATCGCTACGATTTGTAACAAATTTTGCCGACGTGAACCATTTTTGTATCCATTTGGGCTACTTGGACTGTCCCTAGCGCACACATTTTACATTTGGCGACTGGCGATCAAGTTTGGCCACCCAAAAAAAATATTTAGCGACACATGACTACTTATAAATCATAATCGAGATTAAGATTCTATTGTAAGCAAGCAATGTAAGCAATAAAATGCGAGTATAATTTATATTAGTGGACAGAACCAAAAGACAAGTGGAAAAGTAAAAAAATTAAAACTGTATTAAACCGTGATCGACAATGAGATTGGAACAAGAAATCGTTACATGTAAACAGTACGCACTCTTTCGATTTATTGAACGATAAATTGAACAATCAGATCGTTACGATTTATCGAAGCCAAGATCGTAGCGTCTAAACCGCGCTTAACAAAAACTAAAGTGCAAAGAAAAATGTCGAATCTCTTTATAAGACAAATTGGCCCTTCTCCTAGTGAATACCTAGTGCGGAATAAAGATAAAAGCTTACTATCCATACAAAATGTCTTCATCTGAAACAGAACAAAAATTATTGCAAATTGAATGCGACTCCCGTGCGGTGGAGGAACCCATCGGGCGTGGATATGGGGGCGCCCATACAGACACCTGAATGATCTTAAAGTGACTCGTGCTTCGGTGTGGGTGGAGACGATTATCATTGGCTCGTCGGGGCTAAAACCCAGACTGCGTTAGCGATAAAATTCGTTGCCGCGGGCCAACCAGTGATCGTGCTGAGTTCTGCGTGACAGTGGGGTGCAGTGTGGATTAACGGTGCCATTCGGATACCAAGCGACCTCCGAGCTGTGGCCCCTTTCCTACGGGCTAAAAAAACAGAGCGGTTCACACTGGAGTTATGTTCTTGAATATAGAGAAAGCCTGATGTGATCGAGTATGGCACCCATGGCATCGATTCCCGAAGTTAGTCGATATGCTCCATGATGTGACCGGCTGCCGTGACGTCATGATCGTATACGATAGAGATAAGTTCAAGTTTAGCTGAACTAACCAATCACAGACAAGAATTGAACTGTCATTTGTCAGTTTTGTATTTTGTTTTGTTTATGCATTATGGATACTAAAATAAGAAATAGAATAGGGCAATGACTGACGCCCAGAAACAATTGTTAAATGATGCCCAACGTCTTTTGGAAGAAAAACCTCGAACAATTCCATGTTTTATTTCACAGAAAATATGTGAATGTATAGGTTAGGGCACTGTATTAATAACCCAAGCAAAACAGCTGCAAGATCCGTCCTGAAGCTGCAACTGCGCATGACTTTCACGCAACGAGTGGTCTAGACTAGGCATGGGAATTTTTTTTGATATACTTATCGATAGGTATCGATAGTTATCGATATATCGAATAACAATAGGTAGAGCTAAAAAAATCGATATATCGATAACTATCGATATATCGATACTAATCGATAAGTATCGATATATCGATACCTATCGATATATCGATAACTATTGATACTCTACAAGAACACGGAAATAAAACCAACCCGGCAACGTTTAAAAATGGCCACCCGAATGATTTATTCATTGGATTATTCCCTCCAAAACCAAGGATGCTAGCATCCTTGTCCAAAACTAAACAAGATTCCGCTTAAATTTGAAAAGTGGCACGTGATAAAACATCTAAGGCAGGGTCCCCTTACGTTAGTTGTAGACAAATGCTTTGACCTGAAGCACAGTAGGGAAGGAATGTTCTCGCAAAAGTAACTGCTAAGCATAAAAAGAGTACGACGTAAGAAAAACCTCGCAGTTTGATTAATACAATCCAAAAGTTAATTATAGTCCATCCGTTATTACTATTCCGATATGTAATTAACCCCACTAAATGCAGCTTTTTTTTACTTCACGTCGTCGATTTAATATAAATAATTCTCTCAAACAAACTGCAATGCGCTATTGTTGACGTGCAGAATAAGAATGAACAAAGTAGGTAAGGTTCCGAAACGGTTAATCGATTCTAGGTCGTATCGCTTACGTTAAAGAATGTTTATTGAAGTGAATTTCGTTTGCATGGCATGGCATCAAGTAGGCGTAAAAAACATTGCTGTAAACAAAAACTGGATACAAGCGAAATTCACCTTAATTAGCATTCTTTGACGTAGGCGATACGACCTAGAATCGATTAACCGTTTCGGAACCGTACTTTGTTCATTCTTATTCTGCACGTCAACAATAACGCGTTGCAGTTTGTTTGAGAGAATTATTTATATTAAATCGACGGCGTGAAGTAAAAAAAGTTAACGCTGCATTTAGTGGGGTTAATTACATATCGGAACAATAATAAGAAATGGACTATAACAAAATATTTTGTAAAAGTTTAAGCAGTCGTTAACTAAGATAGTAAATGTATATCCACAATGTTGGTAACACTGAAGGTTAAAAGCAAGTTTTTGGGAACAATGTGAACAGTTTTGACTACAGTTTTTTTAACACCCCCGTGACTGCTTCATTCACGGAGAAAATTGTTAGTAACAAACAACAAGTCAGTACATACCTCCAACGAATCGGTAATTTCCACATATTAAAATAAAATTATCAAAACTTACATGATTGTTACTTCAGGGACAAGACCAAGTAATCAACATCAATAAACATAAATTAAGCAAACATTACACCAAAAACGTAAACAATTACAAACAATAGCATAACGGTATCACACATGTGGTTCTATATTGCGGTTAAACCAAGTAAATTTCAAAAACAAAGATTGAAACGCACAACAAATATAAAATGCGCCATACAATACACAAATACTATATAAAGAAATGCAAAATTGCTGCCTGCATTAAATAACACAAAATAACAACAAACAGTTATGGAGGGACGCGTACAGGCGACCGTCATTCAAGACAAGATGCTAAACGTAACCCCCCCGTTCGTGCTTTCTAGGTGGCGCAGGCAGCTTTTCCCCACCTAGAAATTGTATGGTTGCCAACTCTCAAAAATGTATATATCGTCGTTTGTTGTATATACAGGGTGGAACCTTTCACCCTTAATAAATCCCAACGTCTCGGGTATCACGTCACCTTTGGTATTCTTCCGCTTGTCGGGTGTGCTCGCCTGGCTTCCCTCTCTCTCGTTCGTGTTACATGCGTGATGAACTCGTCTATCATCCTCCAGCCACTCACACATGCTGTCGATGATACCAAAGAGTAATTATGGTTACTCTTTGATGATACTATCCTCTTCTATGGGGCCCGCCAACTCCCTCCTTAGCGTCCATCTACGCCTTTCCCACCTCTCACACTCAAATACTGCGTGTCCTGGAGTGTCTTTATGCCCGCAGTCCGCACAGGTGTCCCGCCGCCTTTTGAATCTGTGTAGGTATTCTTCGTTCTTCCCGTGTCCTGTTAAGAACTGTGTTAGGTGGTAGTGTACCTCTCCGTGCTTTCTCTGGTGCCATTTCTGGACATCGGGAATCAATCCTTCGTGTCTTGTTTGCACGAGGCTCTTCTGAGTCTACCTCCACTAGATATATCCACGTGAGAGAGGCCACTCTGGTATCCTTGCGCCTGAAAAATGAAGGGTTGTATAGCAAAGGTATTGAGGTGGGCCACTCTCAAATTATTGGGGAGGCAATGGAGAGATAGCCTATCCCAGTAGAGCCATCTCCTCAATTCATATTAGGGGAGAAGTATGGCATTTTCCTTGATGTGGCATCCCAACCATACAAGGAAGCCCGTTGCACCCCCCTGCAAGAGATTCAACTGCCTCAGATGCAAACTACGTCGACATCTCAGCAGATTCTTTTGCAAATACCAAAAACGCGACGATTTTCAAAAAATCATCGAGACGTATTTAGTAGAGATAAAATTGGATTTCACCACACGTCACGTTTACAACGTCTCTAATCAAGAACAACAGCCCATTAGGAAAAACCAAGCGATATTAGGTAACGCAGTGTAGATCCCCATTTAGAAGATCTCACTGTCGCACAACGGCCCAGCACAAAATGTGGATCATCATTCTAAAAAAATTGCACCAGGGAAGGCATAATTTGGAAATCCCGATACCCAATGGATCGCGCGTGACAAGACAATTTTCGTAGTGGGGAGACGGTCGACAACTCATTTATGAGATATCGACAAAGCAGATAAATCAGTACATTATTTAACTTGTAGGTACTATCGGCCAGTTAGTGCACAGAGATAAGTGGAACTAACCATGGTAAGTACCATATGTATATCATGTTGTCAAGTCACTGATTCAGACTGGTTCGTTGGTCAGAAATTGTTATTCTTATTACCCAATTATCCAAACGAATACAGAATTTGTTTGTCAAATATAAGAACCGAAGTTAAATGTTATTGCCCCCTCGACCTCCATCGGTTATCTTATCGTGACACGGTCTACATTTTTATTTGTGCAACGCGTTAACAACAAATTCCTCATGCAAAGTTGGGTCTCGGTCACATTACGGTACCCCCTCCTTGCAAATGCAATGCGCCCATTACACAGATCTCGTTTCAGGATTGTAACGTGACCGATATAACACTGGATGGTGAGTGCGAAGAGGCGGTTGAAGAGATCCGGAATGGCGGAAAATACAAGTGCATTCTTCTCACCTTGCGCGAGGGCTCTTCCCTTCATTTGGACGAATGCTGCCGGGCGCACGAAGAGATTGAAGCCACACTTTCTAAGCTGCAAAGAAATAAATGCCACTACATCTTGTACTACGACGATCATTCGGCGGAAAAGGGAGAACTTGTCTTGGTCGCATGGTTTCCGCCGGAAATTCGAAATGACGAAACGGACTTGTATTACAGGTAGGGATTAAGTCGCGATATCTAACTGGTGATCGTATTACCATATAGGGCACTGATGATTGTTAAGTACATACTGAAAGTGGAACATCTCCTGATCATGAACGACGGAATTGTGAGCGCACAACATTTTCGGGACTCGGTTCGGAAAACCCTCGGTGAGAAATTCTGTCGATCTTAGTGGAGCACTAACTGTTTTTGATTTAGCCTGCGACACCAACAAGAACATCGTTCGCTTTCCCGAAGCAAACCATCCGATCGACGAAGAGGGTCTCGGTTGTCTGTACTACAAAAAGATGGTGGAACATAAAGAGAAAATTGCTCAGATCGTCGGAATGACTGGGAAAACTGCAACGTACGGGGAACTCTTGCGGGATTCCGTTCGGCTAGCGATTAACCTGCGAAAGAGAGGAGTTGGGCGAGGAGACATTGTGACGGTGTGCAGTTGTGACAACGATGTTGTGGCTATTCCGACCTACGCCACGCTGTTCTTGGGGGCGTCGGTGTGTGCCTTTGACGTGTGGTATGGTGTAAATGATTACGTCAATAGCTTAAGACAAACTGCGCCAAAAGTACTATTTCTGGAACCTTCAGTGGTTGACAAAGTTGAACGTGCACTAGAAATTGTTGGGCAGAAGTGCGAACTGGTTGTTATGGGAGAGACGAATGTTCACACAGCCTTCTCCGACCTAGTACAACCGGTACTTGGTGAAAACGAGTTTAGGCCCGTTCCGGTCGTCAGCCTTCTCGATGACGCCTACATATTCTTCACAAGTGGTTCGACTGGGGTACCAAAGTCGCTTTGCCATAATCACTTAACAATGCAGTACCAAACCTTTAACTTCATGTAAGTCGCTCTATTGTATTTAACAGGTTACAGCAGTACCATGTAATGTATATGGGGAGGTTACTGATTAGCCACACTGTAAAGAGTGTGCAAATCTTTGCTAGTCGGCACGAATTTTTATTGACCCTTAGGAGATGGTTATTAGAGCTTGTCCAAAGGTTAATTCGAAATCTTACAAGAGGTGTTTCTCAGAAAGGGGAGTGGCTCCATTTTAAGTGAAGATGTAGCGTAGTTGTGGAGTCTGTCAACAAAATCAAGTAACGAATCAATAATATTCGTTGCTCCACAAAAGCTGCAACCCTGGCAATAAATGACTTTCCTGTAAAGGCTAGTTTTTCTTGCAAAATTGATCAATTTAAAACTGGGAGGGGTCATATTTGCGGACGGAGGGTAGCTTGTGAACCCTTAAGCAAATTCAGCTAACGAAACAAAAATATTTGTTGCACCACAAAAGCTACAACCCTGGTAAGAAATGATTTTTCTATAAAGTCGAGTTTTTCTTAAAAAATTGATACATTTGAAACTGGGAGGGGTCACATTTGCGGACGGAGGGTAGCTTGTGGACTCTGTAAACGAAATCAATAAACGAAACAAAAATATTTGTTGCACCACAAAAGCTACAACCCTGGTAAGAAATGATTTTTCTGTAAAGTCGAGTTTTTCTTAAAAAATTGATACATTTGAAACTGGGAGGGGTTACATTTGCGGACGGAGGGTAGCTTGTGGACCCTGTAAACGAAATCAATTAACGAAACAAAAATATTTGTTACACCATAAAAGCTACAACCCTGGTAAAATATGATTTTCCTGTAGACGATTGTTTCTTGAAAAATTGATAAATTTGAAACTAGGAGGGGTTACATTTGCGAACGGAGGGTAGCTTGTGGACCCTGTAAACAAAATCAATTATTGAAACAAAAATATTCGTTGCACCACAAAAGCTACAACCCTGGTAAGAAATGGTTTTTCTGTAAGAGCGGGTTTTTATTTAAAAAAATTGATAAATTTGAAACTGGGAGGGATCAAATTTGCGGACGGAGGGTAGCTTGTGGGCCCTGTAAACAAAATCAATTAACGAAACAAAAATATTCGTTGTGCCACAAAAGCTGCAACCCTGGTAATAAATGACTTTCCTGTAAAGGCGAATTTTTCTTAAAAAATTGATAAATTTGAAACTGGGAGAGGTCACATTTGCGGACGGAGGGTAGCTTGTGGACCCTGTAAACGAAATCAATTAACGAAACAAAAATATTTGTTACACCATAAAAGCTACAACCCTGGTAAAATATGATTTTCCTGTAGACGATTGTTTCTTGAAAAATTGATAAATTTGAAACTAGGAGGGGTTACATTTGCGAACGGAGGGTAGCTTGTGGACCCTGTAAACAAAATCAATTAACGAAACAAAAATATTCGTTGTGCCACAAAAGCTGCAACCCTGGTAAAAATGACTTTCCAGGAAAGGTGAATTTTTCTTAAAAAATTGATAAATTTCAAACTGGGAAGGGGTTACATTTGCGGACGAGGGTAGCTTGTGGACCTGTAAACAAAATCAATTAACGAAACAAAAATATTCGTTGAACCACAAAGGCTACAACCCTGGTAAAAAATTTTTTCCAGGAAAAGTGAGTGTTTCTTGAAAAATTGATAAATTTGAAACTGGGAGGGGTTACATTTGCGGCCGGAGGGTAGCTTGTGGACTCTGTAAACAAAATCAATTAGCGAAACAAAAATATTCGTTACACCACAAACGCGACAACCCTGGTAAAAAATGATTTACCTGTAAAGGCGAGTTTTTCTAGAAAAATTGATAAATTTAAAACTGGGAGGGGTTACATTTGCGGACGGAGGGTAGCTTGTGGACCCTGTAAACAAAATCAATTAACGAAACAAAAATATTCGTTGAACCACAAAAGCTACAACCCTGGTAAAACAAGATTTTTTTGTCAAGGCGGGTTTTTCTTGAAAAATTGATAAATTTCAAACTGGAAGGGGTTACATTTGCGGACGGAGGGTAGCTTGTGGACTCTGTAAACAAAATCAATTAGCGAAACAAAAATATTCGTTACACCACAAACGCGACAACCCTGGTAAAAAATGATTTACCTGTAAAGGCGAGTTTTTCTAGAAAAATTGATAAATTTAAAACTGGGAGGGGTTACATGCGGACGGAGGGTAGCTTGTGGACCCTGTAAACAAAATCAATTAACGAAACAAAAATATTCGTTGCAACACAAAAGCTATAACCCTGGTAAGAAATGATTTTCCTGGAAAAGTTAGTTTTTCTTAAAAAATTGATAAATTTGAAACTGGGAGGGGTCACATTTGCGGACGGATGGTAGCTTGTGGACCCTGTAAACAATATCAATTAACGAAACAAAAATCTTCGTTGCACCACAAAAGCTACAACCCTGGTAAGAAATGGTTTTTCTGTAAGAGCGGGTTTTTATTTAAAAAAATTGATAAATTTGAAACTGGGAAGGGTCAAATTTGCGGACGGAGGGTAGCTTGTGGACCCTGTAAACAAAATCAATTAATGAAACAAAAATATTCGTTGCAACACAAAAGCTATAACCTTGATAAGAAATGATTTTCCTGGAAAAGTTAGTTTTTCTTAAAAAATTGATAAATTTGAAACTGGGAGGGGTCAAATTTGCGGAGGGAGGGTAGTTTGTGGACCCTGTAAACGAAATCAATTAACGAAACAAAAATATTCTTTGCACCACAGAAGCCACAATACTGGTAAGGAATGGTTTTTCTGTAAGAGCGGATTTTTATTTAAAAAAATTGATAAATTTGAAACTGGGAGGGGTCACATTTTCGGAGGGAGGGTAGCTCTTGGACCCTGTAAACAAAATCAATTAACAAAACAAAAATATTCGTTGCACCACAAAAGATAACAACCCTGGTAAGAAATGATTTTCCTGTAAGGCGAATATTTCTTGAAAGATTGATAAATTTAAAACTGGGAGGGCTTACATTTGCGCCGAAGGGAAGCTTGTCGCTTGTAAGCAAAATCAATTAACGAATCAAAAATGTTGGTTGCTCCACAAAAGTTTCAGTTTTGTATTTATTGTTTCCGAAACGACCTGACTGTTAAAAACTAGGAGGGGGTACTGTAACAGGAACCTCTTACACAATTTGCATAATTATCCAATTCCCAATCAATGTTATGGATACTCATTTATAATTAAAAATGCTTCCAAGTTCTGCATATGCACAATCATCAACATGCGGGAAAAGGTATTTCCATTAAACATGTGCAAGAAACTACTAGCAAAGATACGTACCTGTATTCTCTTGCATTCAAGAAAAAAAATGACAGGTATATATTGCGTGGCACTTCTGCAACGTTTGAGTACAACGGTTGTCGCCACATATTGACCCAACAATTTTAGCACCACTGACTTTTGCTGGGATCTCATCCTTCACTATTCCACCCCATACTGGACGTTGTACCCGAAATACCTAGGAGTAGCAACACTTATGGGCACAATGCGCCTGATTTACAGGGCATTCTACGAGAATTACTGGCACTTCGCGAAATACAAGGTGAGTAGCAATCAGTCCGGCTGCCCCATAACTGTCAGAGATGCCCTTAGGTAACAATGCTATTCCTATCCGTGACTGAAATCTCCACTTTATGCACATACGAAAGGCCAAAAGACATTGATCTACGAGGAATGGACATTATAATCGGCGGAAACGTCGTAACCAACGACCATCTCAAGAAAATAGAAAAGATCTTTTACGATTGTCAGATATTTCTATCCTACGGCATGACTGAAGTGCCATGTGGGTTGATGACGTTCAAGCCCAAGTCAGAACTCGACAGAAAGTTGAAGGCGAAATATCCCGCGTCTGTTGGCGTAAGTCTTCCCGGATTGTCGTACAAGGTATGTAATCGACCAAAAATTAACCCCCTACATTTAAAACTTCCAGATCGTAGATCCCGAAACCGAAGAAATCCTAGGCCCGAACCAGAAAGGCGAACTACGCGTTAAAACCCCATTCCCTCTAACCGGTTACTTCCAGGTGCAGCCCTCCCCTCTTTGGGACTCCCACGGTTGGCTAAAAACCGGCGACTTGGCGTACTACACCGAGGATCGATGCTTCTACGTCGTCGATCGCATGAAAAACATGTTCAAATACAAAGATTACCACATCGTGCCGAGCGTACTCGAGCGGGCTCTCGAATCCCATCCGTCCGTCCGTAAGGCCGCCGTGATCGGCATGCCCGACGAGGAGTACGGTCACCTCCCCTTGGGCGTCGTCACGCTGAAATCGACGCAGGAATCGATTACCGGCGCAATTCTGCGGGACTTTGTCGACGAGAGGGTTGACGACTATCAAAGGTTGCGCGGTGGGGTGAAAATTATCGACCAATTTCCCACAACGTCCACCGGGAAGATACGTAAATGGCTATTGCACGATATGATAGTGAAAGCGAGTTAGACGTTTTCATTTCCAGCAGCTCTACCTTAAGTTATTTCGTTTACACTACCATCTGAGCTACTGAATCCTGATTATGTCAATACACCAATAACATGTTAATCAATTTTGTATTAAATTTAGCAATTCGTGGCATTTTCCTACTTTCCATAGTCCGTGTACTAAATATGTAGGTACCCCCTATCGTGAAGTTGAAGGACCCTAGACTAAATCTTTTGAGAGGGCACAAGCAGTTAAATCCCGGGTACCCAAATTAGGAGAAGAGTCGGCGTCCTAGCTGCGCGTCAGGAGAAAAACCAGATGATGTCTGTAAATTATCGAGTTAGTACCTATACCTATGTACTCGTATGTCAAAAAAACTGTCAATAAAAATTAAGCTTCAGTCTTGTATCCTTTTTACAAACATAAACTTGTAGAAAGAAATATTGTGGTTGGTAAAACCACAGACAAAATGTAAAACTCTTTATTTCTAACAGAATATTTGGTGACCCCGAAATTTTGAAACGTATATACCATGGATGCCCTTCGGAGAGCCAGACGGCCACTTCGGAATGGAGCTAAATGAGGATAGCTGAGTTAAACAGACTGTTCCAAGTGGAACCAATTTCGAAGGAAAGGATTCAATTTGTCCTGAAGACACTGAATGAGAAACATATTAACTTAGCAGAGTTAGACCAGAAGATTTTAGGTCAGATGGTGGATGATGGAGTTGACGAAACGGATCAAGACACTGAATATGAAGCTATTATAGAAATGAGACAGCAAATAATGACAACTTATTTTAAAGCTGAAGAAATGTTTGTTACTAGTCGTGTTGCCCCCATCCAGTATTACATTTGGATCTGAAGGTGGAGCAAGAGCATTTCGATTACCCAAGATCGAGTTGAAGAAATTTTCAGGAGAGTTCAAGGGTTGGTTAGGATATTGGGCTGAATTTGAAAAAAATGACCAAGATAGTTCTTTACACGGCAGTGATAAGTTTCAGTATTTACTTCAGTCACTTTTACCTGGAACCGATGCACATGAGGTAGCAAGTAGCTATCCCCAGTCAAATGAAAACTATCCTATGGTAATTGAGGCTTTTAAACTAAGCTACGGGAATGAAGATTTACTACTTCAAGTTTACATTAGAGAATTATTAAAGTTAGTCATTTCCAATGTGAATTCAAATGACAAGATCCCTTTTCAAATGTTGCATATTAAGCTAGAATCACACTTCCGAGCACTGAAAACACTTAATCTTGAAAAAGCTGATCCTGCCACATGGCTTTATCCATTAGTTGAGTCAAGTCTACCAGAAGAGATTCTTTTGACATGGCAGCGTAGTTCTTTGGCTGTCCATGATGGAAGTGAAGATACACCTTCGAGGAACCGCTTAGACCTGCTCATGGAATTTCTGGATAAGGAAGTAGGGATCCAACAGAAGATTAGTTTGGCTCGAAAAGGATTTGGAATGGAGATCAAGCCAAAGAAAGCAAATGTTCAAGCTAAAAACAAATTATCTCAACCTACCCCAACCTTAGCTTCTTGTCATGATGGAGATCAATCTTGTTTATTTTGTGGGAAGAGTCATGGAAGCAAAGAATGTAGTAATGCTAAGAAATGGCCACTTGAGAAGAAAAGAGATGTACTAAAAGAAAAACAAGTTTGTTCTTCATGCTTCAAGAGTGGACACCCGGCTAAATTTTGCAAGAATAAGAAGAATCTCAACTGTTTCATTTGTGGCGGAAAACATTATCCTGTCATGTGTTCTAACCTTGCTGATAAATCAAAAGGGAATAAAGTTACAGATTATACTACATCTGCCACTGCCGAAAATATGACCGGATGTGTGAATCAGATTTGTAGCAAAGAAATAGATCTACAGACACTTATAGTTCGAGCAAGATGTGGAACTAAGGAGAAGACAGTGAGAATATTCTTAGACAACGGCTCCCAAGGATCCTACATTTTTAAATCAAATGCTAAAGATCTAGAACTAGAAGTAAAAGGAACAAACAAAATTACTCATTCACTCTTTGGAGGCACTCAGACGGAAGTGATTACTCACAATATACATCATGTGACATTGGACAAGATTGGTGGAAAAGAATATTCATGTATCATTAGGGAGTACGTAACGAAGAAAAGATCTGCAACTTTATCCCACGTGTTTCAAGTAACTCTATTTGGTAAAGAGTTGAACAGGAAAAGAATAAAGTTGTCAGATGTGGGAGATGGATGTCCTCCAATTAAAATCTTACTTGGTGCTGACGTTTATGGGAGACTTCTAACGGGAAAAAAGACAACACTTTCCAATGAAGTCACAGCAATTGAAACTAAGTTAGGTTGGACGTTATGTGGGAGGATGGGTGAAAGAGATGATAATAACTTATCAATGTGTATCCTGTCTATGGCTATTCAAGATGCATCGGTTTCGCCGCTTTGGGATCTCGATCTACTTGGAATTCGAGATGAAACTGATGTGATATCTGTGAAACAGCAAGAACAAGAAGATAAGCAAAAGTTCTTCAACTGTTTGACAAGAAATGCAGATAGGAGATATGTTGTATCCCTTCCTTGGATAGATGACCACTCACCACTACCTAAAAATATTGAAGTTGCAAGGTTACGCTTAAATCATGCTACTAAACGTTTGGAAGAAAATAAACTGTTTGAAGAATATGCTAAATTGTTTCAACTTTGGAAAGACGAAGACTTTATCGAAGAAATCAACCCTATTGTCTGTGACAAGAAAGAAAAGGTTCACTATGTCGCCCATCGAGCAGTGATCAAAATGAGCAGTTTTACTACCCCGGTTAGGCTTGTTTTTGATGCCTCATGTAAGGTTGGAAAAGGACCTTCATTGAACGAGTGTCTCAAGAAAGGAAATAACTTTATCAAAATGATTCCTGATGTGTTGTTACTGTTTCGAGAAAAGAAAGTGGGATTTGTTTCTGATATTCGTAAAGCTTTCCAGATGAAGTGAATGAACAAGATAGAGATTGTATGAGATTTCTTTGGTGGAAAGATAAATCTAAACAAAACTTAGTAGAATACCCGTGTCATGTTTGGTACGAATTGTAGTCCCATTAGCATTGGAGCAGTGTTAGAATTTCATTTGGTAAATGTTCAGAATGAAAAACAAAGCCCAGAAGCTGTATAATTTATACGTGGACAACTGTGTCAGTTCTTAAAATACCGTGGAGGAGTTAATTTTCGAACAAAATCAGTTCAATTGTTAGCTGAAGCTGGAATGGACTTGAGACTTTGGATGTCAAATGTAGATGAGATGGAAGACAAGAATAGTCATCTGATTTCAGTACTAGGAATGCAGTGGGATCGAGTTTGTGACGAATTGTATGTTGATGTGAAACTCCCTACCTTACCTGAAATTATCACAAAGAAAGTTATGCTGTCTATTGCCCATCAAGTTTTTGATGCTATTGATATTGTCTGTCCAGCTGTGCTCCCAGTGAAAGTCATACTTCAGAAGACATTCATTATCAAATTGAATTGGAAGGAACCTGTCCCAACCGAAGAGAAAAAATTTACGGAATGGTATGAACAACTACATATTTTGTTAAGTCAAGTCAGAATTCCCAGATGTGTAACCGGAGGTGAATTTGATCGAAGTAAATGGTCATTTCACGTTTTTACGGATGCAAGTGGTTTGGCGTATGGTGCTGTGATATTTCTCCGCGTGGAACATGTGGGAAGAGTTTCAATGCAACTGATTTCTGCTAAGTCTCGAGTTGCCCCGATTAAGAGGATAACAATTCTACGTTTGGAATTGTTAGGCTGCTTAATTGGTACAAGATTGGCTGTTTCTGTGAAAAAAAGGATTAAAAGCTGAGGATATATTTCCTATTTTTTGATCTGATTCAAGTACTGCGAAAACCCTACGTCGACTCGATATTTGTGTAGACCAATTTGGGATTATGAGAGTTAAAACTAAGATTGTTTTATTGGAAGAAAGAAGATTTCAAGTTCCCTGCCATTTTTCATGGAAAAAACCCATTAGTTCAACAGTTGATTTTTGATGTACATAAGAAGTTATACCACGCTGGAGTCGGCATTGTGATGACTTGTAATAGCCCTACTATTACCGTCTCACGTTTCTGATTGATAAAAAATAAATCTACATAAATAAACCGATTATATTGAAAAAAATAAAATAAATCCAAATTCCACTGCACTCACAATTGATTTCCATTTTTATATTAAATCTTAATTACTCAATTACTTACATCTATCCTGAATCTGAATAATATTTAAATTTACTTAATATAACACTTAATTAAATACCTACAGCAATGAATATTCTTCTAACTTCTAACTTATATTTATCCTATCTATATAAAACCATTCGGCAAAAACAATTATAAAATGACAAAATAAAAATTTTATATGAATAAATTTCTAGGTAAATAACTTTTCATAAAAATAACTTACAATTTAGACAGTAGTATTCTTCCCCTTTTTAGATGGTGGGTATTGTAGTGGAGCATGATTTAGATTATTCTCAATCTTCGCCTATTAAATCCAATCGCGTAATCCCAATTGAACAACAATTTCTTAGCGCGCTTTTCGTACTTTAGGTATAATTTCTGAACGGAAGTCTTTCAATCGCACGTTAAACTAAACTGCAATTACTCAATGATTAATATTTTCCGAACAATTCACTATTCCAGAACGACCAACTTGTTCTTGGTTAAAAAATACGATTTTTTTATTAATACGCGCAACAAATTTTATTTGGTTTGGGCCTTTTTACTTAAATGGCCCGTTTCCGCGATGACACTCGTCCGTGCGAATATCTACGAAAAAACTTTATAAGTGGTGGCCGCGTTTTCCGCGGCGGTACCACGCTCCGCGTGAATATCTACACAAAAAGCTCCCAAATTTCTGATCATTTTGGTTTTTATATCGCGAGTAAACCAACGCCCGTAATTAACGCTCCCATCAAGTTTCTGGAAATAAACAAACTCATAATTTTTTAGCCTCGCTGTTTTATTACATATTTTTCTTAGAATCTATTGCGTCTTTTAACCGGTGACCTTTTTTAAATCACGTACTAATCGTTAACTCGCCCAAAATAGGAAGTCCAAAACCAATAACTCATCTTATATTTCACGATATTTG